TCATCACTCATCATTTTTTCTGTTCATAGTTTCAGTAAAGACAATTTAGTCAATTTTCCAAACAAAGAATTTTCTTATCAAAAACGAGCACAGCTGCTGAGAAACTTGGTCAATGAGTATTAACAATATCAAGATCCTGCACGAGTTTATTGCTCACGTTCTACTCCTTGTACAACAAACTTCTAGGAACATCAGATTTCTGACCTTACTCAATCCTATGCTCTCTCAACAGGATCCTCAAACCACTGGAGCCACAGAACAGATTTTAAACAGCATTGTGTGAGAACTGCTTCCAGTTCTTTCACTGTCCCGACCTTACCAGTTTATTTCTCTCTACAGCAGCATACCCTAAGTCCTTCCATACCATGAGTCCATGCCAGCCAACCCTGCTGAGTAAAGCAGATGAAGCACAAACCCTCATTGATCACAGACAAATCTTTCTGAACTGTGGTCAGACCTCAGACTGAAAGAGGGGAAACTTAGGTCAGATATGAGGAAGAAATTCTTCCCTGTGAGGGTGGGGAGGCCCTGGCACAGGCCATCCAGACAAGCTGTGGCTGCCCCATCCCTGGAAGAGTTCAAGGCCAGGTTGGACAGGGCTTGGAACAGCCTGGCCTGGTGGAAGGTGTCCCAGCTTATGGCAGTGGGGCTGGAACTGGATGAGTTTTAAGGTTCCTTCCAACCCAAACCATTCTAGGATTCCATCTGCAAAACAGGAAAGAAGGAATGCCCATCTACACCCTTTCATAAGAAGGCCAGTCTTAAAATGTGGAAGAGGTAAAAATGGAGGAGCTCACAAGATCACTGCAGTGACTTTCATTGATGTCCCAGGGGCACTCCAAAGGTACTCCTCCTAAAGATCCAGGCAGGGAAATGCCATGGCAATTATTGAAGCACCCTCAGCAAAGGACTGGCTTCAGAACCAGTTCAGAAGAGACAAGGCCACTCACAGAACTGGCATTTCTCTATGAGTCTCTTTCATGAACCTGAAAGGAGGGTGTAGCCTGGTGGGGGTTGGTCTCTTCTCCCAGTCAACCAGCAATGGGACAGGAGGACACAGGGGAGGTGTAGGTTGGGCATTGGAAGTTTTCACAGAAAAGATGAATGGGCTGCCCAGGGAGGTGGTGGATTCACTGTCCCTGAGGGTGTTTAAAATAAGACTGAACATGGCACTCAGTGCTATGGCTTAGTTGATAAGGTAGTCTTAGGTCATAGGCTGAACTTGATAATCTCAAAGGTCTTTTCCAACCTAGCTCATTCTGTGATTCTGTGAATTTGTCCTGTTTGATGACATGGAAGATCTATGCAACCCACAGAGGAAGGATCTGAAACTGTCTGTTTTTTCTAGTCTGGATTCTTAAAAAAATAAACCTGTTTCTTCAAGTGCTCTGTTCTGATACAGCTTCAGAAAGCTCCATATTAAGAGTCTCTTGAGACTAGCATCTTTTACCAGCCAAGTAACATAGCTTAGCTGGTACTCACAGATCTTATTTTCCCTCTTATTTTACACAGAGATCCTCTGCCCTTGCAGAATAATATAATTATTCTATAAAAGCAGAAAGCATATGGAGTGCTTTCCTCCAAGCAACGGAGCTGAGCACCATGAAAACCATGAACATAAGCATTTTATTAGAGGTGGTTTCCCTTCCCCACCAACTACTGAGAGCTGCTGTGAAATTCTGTTGAAGTCATACTGTGACAGGGTACAAAACAGCTATGAAAGGATTTGCCTGCATTACACAGGGTTTACTGTTAATTAGCTCTTGTACACATTAGCAGCAGATAAAACCAGCTTTTTTTTGTTGCTGTTGAGGAAGTGATGATTTGTTGAGAGGACATCCTTTTTGGATATAAAACTAGCAACAGCATTGTAATTAGAGTTAACACCTACACAACGTTCTATTGAAGCTCTTGACAATAGTGGGCCTGGCTAATTAGTTTCTGTTAGTTAAAAGGGAAATGTAAATGAAATTTTCTTGGGGCGTAAACAGAGACAGCAGCTTACTCAGACCAGGAACATCAGTGCTGGTGCTGGTTCTTTCCTATCACAACCAACACATGCTCCTGATCACATCTCTAGATATACAATCTCAGATGCATCAGAAAACAGAAACTTCACTCCTCCTTTGATGATCTCTCCTAGTACTAACTTGAATGAAGCCTAGCAAGGATAAACCAATTAAAATTCATACTTTAGGTAAAAGCTTTGTCCACAGCCTCACTCCAATCACTGCACTTAGCCAAATTTTTCTGGTGAACTTGAAAGGAACCAGCCTTTCCTGACTCTCTAGAGTGTTTTCTTCATGAACAACAGAGCATTATTTTTACAGTTTTTGAATCATCCTTTTAGACAACAGTTATCCCAGTCTAGGGAGCAGACATACTCATGTTTTTGCTGATTGTTCCAGAACATGCTGACATATTCTATAGTGTGCTATTCCAACCACAAAAAACACTGAATGCAACTGCCAGAAAGTAGCAAAAGGAGGAGTGGCATTGTAATAAGAGGCAGGAAAGCAGGATAGATAACTCCTTTGGGCATCCTGGGAAATTCCAGCCTTCCTCTGCTTTCCATCTTTGCTTTGGCAATTTCTAGGAAAGATTGGTATGGAAGGTGGGACCAAAACAAAAGCCCTACAGGAATAATCCATACAGGAAGCTGCAAGAGCAGCTGTTCTTTTGGACAGAACTCTATTAAACCTAAACGTTAAAAAAAAAAAAACCCAAAACCAAACTATGCAGAAAGAAATGCATTGCCAAAAGTAAGGTTGTTTTCCCACAAACTTGAAGGGACTCAAGATAAGCAAAAAACTGAAGTTTCACCAGCCATTTGGAAAACAAGCCATGTGATGCACATCTGATTCCTCTTGATTAAACACGACAGAAAGAATTCCTTTGCTATTCTACCAGACTCTCACAAAAGCCTTCAAGTCAATGGATCATGGCATAAACAATTTGCAAACTAAAAAACTGGAAAGGAAAGCAACACTGCTATGAAAATGGAAATAGGAAAAGATGAGGAATACCTTGTTTGGGTTAAAGCCCTGCTCTCACTTGGAGCAGAAAAACCTGTCCCCTTCTACTCACTGATAATTCACGTCAATGGAAAAAACTCAAGTCAACAGATAAGGGTCAGACTGATTATTAATTAATTTAAAATTTATAAATCTCAGGAGGGTGCACAGCTGTTAGAGACATGAAGAAGATTCTATCTGAAGTTAAACACATCCATTTTGGATTTACAACCCTACTGTAACAAAAAGTGTCACTTTGCCAGTGCAGTTTTGCCCATATTTTAGCCCAAACAGAATGAATAATTTTCACAATAAAAAAAAAAGCACAATTTCACAAATCTAATATAGAGGTATGAAGTTTCCTTCTTTGCCTTGAAAGTGAAAGAATACATACTGACATTTAAACACAGTGCAGTAGTTTCCCTAGAATAAATTCAGCAAGGCTGAAACAAACAAAAAAAATATCCATCAGATCCAAAGGAAACAGGAAACATTTGAGGGCCTTCCCCTTCAGACTGAATGGAGCAGGAGTAAAACCATTGAACAGAGTAAAACAATTCCTCTCATTTCTGTAGTTTGACAAGGCCCTTAAACTTAAGGAAATAATAACAATAACAATAATAATAATAACAACACATTACATATATGTATATATTATTATTATTATTATACTATATTATATATTATATATATTATTATTATTATTATATTTTCTGTATTTGTGTTTTGAGTAAATTTGATGAAATTGGGGTCTTTAAAACTGAGGCAGCTGTGTTTGGATAAGTCCATCTGAAAATGAGGCCCCACAGAAGTATCTCAAACTGGATATCCCAGATCAGAGAGATTAAAACAAAACATTGAAACACTGAAAAATGCATCTCCTGTTGCTTATTCATTGCTTAATGAATGAAGTCAGCACTGATACTGATTTAATAAACAAATGTACCATTTGATAGCATTTATAGTGCACTGTTTTTCAAGTTCAAAAATATTCTCCCTCATAAGCTAGGAATAGGCATATTCACATTATGTACACAATTAGGAAGGAAAGGCAACCTTAAAACCTTTTGAAAAAGACAAGAAAAAAACTCAGACTGAAAATCTTAATGAGGTGGGTTTGATTGAATTTATGCATTTTTCATCTAGTCTTAGCTCAGGAGAGTAATCCCAAAGCCTAGAAGTCATATTAACCAGTTTGAATTTAAGAATGAACAAACTCTATGGCAATGAAGGGCTTTCATGAAAAAGAATGCAGAATAAAGCCTACATTAATTTGTTTCAATTGTCATTACAGAAAAATAAAACTGCTGCAAGGTTACAATTTTTCTTTTAAACAGAAAATGAAAAAAAAAATGAAATAATAGTTTTATGTGAAGTAACGAAGAAATTTTGTTTTGCTATAACATTTACTTTTTCCAGGGAAGGCATATAGAAGAAAGACTCATTTGCTTTTAAATTTTGTCTTAAGCAAAAAACAACAAAAAAAACCCAATAAAGAGAAAATAAGTGCATTCCAATTTTACCAGAATTTTTACCATCTAATAAAATTTAATCTGGAAATATGAATACTTAAAGGAAATTTCAGAATTTAATCCTTATTGATTTAAGCTAAAAATAAAAACAATTCTAAAAATCAGCCTAAATGAGCAGAATATTTAATTGGCTTTCAAACAAAAAGCACATTTGGATGTAGAGAGGCAGATCTCCCAGAATACAAGGTGGGTGTGTGTTCAAACTGGCTGCTATGACATTCCAGTGGCAGGCAGGTGTGAAGGATGGGGTGGGGATGTTACCTAGCGTGCTGTGGCAGAGTGGACTGCCGTGTCCATGGATAGAAAATGCAGTCATGACTAGCTGGGCCTCTACACCTGCAGGCAATTACAGAACAAACCACGTCATTGCCACGCCCCAGGACATGCACACGCATGCGCCCTTGTCCACACGTGCAGGATGGAGACACACAGGCAGCCAGCACCCAGCCAGTACCTATCCATCAGCCCAATGCAGTCCTCCAGGTGTGGCCCTATGCACCTGCAGCAAATCCAAAGTGGAAACAGGGAGAGAAAGAGAGACAGCTGTTATTTACACACCCAACGAGCAGGAAGCCCCTTTGTGTTCTTAATTCTAGCTCTTCTCTTGCTTAAGAGAGACCTATGTCACCAAAAATTATAGCTTATGACAAGAGGAACAATAATAGCAACAGCATTCCAAGGCAGGCCATATCTTGGCTCAAACAACACTTAAGGCAGGTTTCACCTGTGTACGTGGGAGTCCTGACAACAGGGCTCTTTTCCTGTGTGTTTTTATGAGTCATCAAACCAGTGATTACTGCACAAAAGCTGTTCATTTACAAGTCGAGATTTCCAGGAGCACAATCCAGAACTTGCTTTTCTTTCTGTAATTGATGCAATTGTTCGTTTTGTTCTAAGCTCCCAGCCAGGGTAACTGAAGAAATATTTTGGAAGCTGAAAATCCTTTTTTTAACAGGGAAGCTCAAGGATCAACTTCCAGCAACAAAAACCACAGCAAAATGGTGTCTGCTGATTCAGACATTTTATTCTGCTTTCCTTAGATGCTGCCAAAAGTCCTCCACCTGCACAATCAGCAGGTGCTCACCAAAGGCATTGGGAATGCAAGGAATCACTAAATGCAGCACCACTAAAGCACAGCCATGGAAAAGAGTTTGCAGAACATGTGTGGATTTCCCTTGCCCCCATGAAGAGCAGGACTGCTTTCCTGGCCCCCTGCATTCAAACATCAAGTCAATATATATTTACAAGGCAGTCAGGATTCTCAGAGACCTAAAGCTGAGCTTTTAGGGGTTAAAACCACCTGACCCCCTTCAGTGCTGCACACCCAGCAAGGCATCCTAGCCATGGGGAGTACCTGGCCCTCAACATTTAAGAAAACCAAACCATTTATTTCAACTCTTTAACAAGATCTTAGAGCCATTTTATTAACAGGCCCTTTGGCTGTACATCCACTACAGGCAGCAGAGGTGATCTGACACATCCGTAGACTGCAACTTATTTCTGTTGAGGCATTTTAAATTTAAGGTGTGATCCCCAATGCTTTTAAAGTTTGCTGTTTTTCAGATTGGCTTTGATGCAAGGATATGCATGTCAAAAAATCTGAGTTCAAATGAGCTCCCATGAGATCTTCTTTCTGCTTCACCATCACTTGCCACTCCTCAGCTTTTGCTGCATTTAAATTAGTATCACTCTGCTGTTATAAAATGAATTCAATTTCCCTGTACCTGCTCATCAGGGAGAGCAGACCAAGTAAACCTCACCCCATGTTTGTTTACTTGAATACTTATTTTTACGTAAGACATTTACTCTGACATGCAAATACAAACTGCAAGGATTTCCTCAATGATTGCTTCCTCCAGCATACGTGCAGACATAAAAAAGATGCATTAAATATCCAGATAATGCATAAATGTAAGGGTTGATTTAAACACAGTTCAAAAACTTAATAGAGAGAGCTCTTGGAATTTCAGCTGTCCTGAGCACCAGCACTTGAGAATTCAAAACTGTCTGAATTCTAACCCATCTCAAACACATCCAATGTTTCTTCCTTTCATGGCATTCTCAGCAATTTGGAAAAAAACAAGCTCAGCAATGAAGAAGGCTGCAGAATTGCTCAGATTGTCCATTTCCTACCATGCTAAAAAAAGCTGAGCTTAGACTCTTGCTGTAAATAAAAAGAAGGGCATCTTCAAATTAGAGGTCTGAGAGCCTGCTACTGGTTTAGAGAACCGGCAGACTGACATCAAGAGCCTGTAGTCTTGGAGTCACTTCACATGTTCATTTGGAGAACAGGACTGAATCCAAACTGGTACTGCTGGACCTCACCCAATGCAAATTGAAGTATCACTGATTTTTATTTCAAACTGTAATCTTCTTCAGTGGACTTGACTTCCCCAAAGAGAAAACTCTGTCCAGGTGCAATTCCATGACTCCTAGTTAGGCAGTTCCCAGTTTCCTCCCTGAGTGGCTGTCCTGGTTACACGCAGGGAAGTACAACACTGTGTGAGTCATGGCAATATTTATTCACAGGGTATTTTGTACCACCAAGTCACCAGGTATTTTTCCCCAGGAGGGAACTCCCTTCATTTCAGGCTTTTTGACCCATATAAGCCTGATACAATCATACATCATATGCTGTTCACACCCAGTGTTCCTTCTGCTTGGAGTCTGGATGATATTTTCTTTTCCGAGTTGGCTCTGTAAAATGAACTGGTTAATTGAGACATGCCAATTCATTAATGATATATTCAGTACCTTACAAAAGTTCAAAACAGCTTATCCAGAAAATTACACTTGGAGCTCATCCTAGCTTAATAGATAACCATCCTCTGAAAGGAAATTTGGGGTTTTGAAAATTGCAGTAACAACTATATTTTTTTCCAGGAACAATCCAGAAATATTGTCATTTATCAACCTTCTTTAAGATTGAAAGGTGGGGTTTCAACTGCACAGATATGGGGTAGCAAAGCCAGATGAATTCTCCAGATGAATTCTCAAAAATCTTGGAAACAAAAAAGACTGATTTTACAATGGTGTAAGTGGATTATCTCTGGGCAGGAGAAAAACCTTTTTGTGGTCACTATTGGTATGGATAAAGTCAGACAACTCTACCCAAGGGTTACTGAGCTAACAGGCAAGAGGAACAAAGTTGAACTGGAGTGGGGGCTAGGAGAAAACTTAGCAAAATGAAAGAGTACAGTTTTTCTTATCCAGAATGTGTTTGCAACATTCTCTCATCTGGAATTCAAACTTTCTTCCTAAAAATACACCTAAGCTTTAGAGACAACACAGTGCTTCTGCCCTCAAATCCTTTCAGGACCACACACTGTTGCTGGAGCTCCCCTGACTTCTCTGGTCATGGCTTAGAAGGAAAAGAGCATTTTGGTGAGGAGCAATGCCCTCCCTTCAAAAAGCTGTGTGACAAAACATTTGTATGATGAGGGGAAGTGTCCAGTGAGATCTCCCATTTGTGTCCTGCCCAGCAAGGAAGCAGGCTGTCACTTGCTATTGTGTAATTAGTGCTTTATTCCTGCGGAAGTGTTCAGTTTTGGCTGGCTCTGCAAGAAGAGGTGCCAAATGCTTTCCAGTTCTCTTGAATTAAGTGGGATAGCTGTCCCACATGCCTCAGATCTGCTCCAAACTGGCTGCAAGTAGCTGATACTTATCACAGGGATACAAGGGCAGGAGCATAGTTGTTGCACCCAAGGAAGTCACTGTCTGACAGTCCCTCTGGCCAAAGCAAGATCCTTAACAGGGCTGGATAATTACACACCTATTAAGAGAAACAGTCATTACACTTAAATAAGGGAGGAGAATGGTGCTAGCAAACCTCACTAAAGCAGTCCTCTGCAAATGCCAAGACGGAACTTGTGGCAAAACACAGGAAACAGAGGTAGGACAGGTCCTTCCTTGGTGACAACTGGTGGGGATGACTGGACACATCATGTGAGAACTAATAACCTATTTTATCAAGCAGCACTGCAGGAACGAGATAATACCATACTGGGAAGCAATGCTCTGCAGCAGCTCAGCCCTTCTGGATGGGTATCCCAGCTGTATTGAGAGGGCACTGGTCTAATTCCAGCACTTGATCTGGCAGCCAGGAGAACAGATGTGGGGGATGAAGCAGAATTAAGTTTTCTCTCTACCTTTGAGCCAAGAGCCAAACAGCAAGCTGTGTTCTCTCCACAACCTATTTCAGTGAAGAATCATGACAAAGGGGAATTTAAATACTACTTTCTAAAGGAAGGGTATGAAACCAGAGAACTCAGCCTTGAAGGAGGAAAGGAGAGAGCAACTGATTTCCCTTCTCTCTGTGGGCATATTCAGGCCCTGACAATGTTGGCAAGAAGATGGACAACCTGCAAACCCTAAACATCTTGGCCAGTCATTAATACCTTCAGTAACACATGCCACAAAGTCTCTAAGAACACTAAAAAGAATAGTAAGCCATGCTTACTCTGACGTGGGGGGAAGAGAACATTGTTTTTCTAAGGGATAAAAAAATACCTAAAAATAGACACATCAACTTTTTAATAAGAGGACAAAGATTTCCACAGGGAAATTAGTGTCATGGAAAAGGGATAGTTCCTCATCTGAGAGATAGGAACATCATCATGGGCTTTGTGTACATAACTGGGGGACAGACCTTTAGCCTTTTAACTGGTCCTTTTTCTGGGGGTGGGCACACTGGGGGACATTCTTTCACCTAATCAGAAGGACAAAATAAAAAAGAGGGAAAACCAGAAGTCTAAGGATTAAAAGGACAACATCAGCTGGCATAAGGGAACCCAGTGTCAGCAACAGTTGCCAATGAGGACTGCCAAGGTTAGCTGGAACTGCCTAATGCCCTTCATATTTGTGCTTGACCTAGAATGTCACATTTTCAGCACAAGACATAAAAACCTTCCTTCTCAATCCAGGCAGATAAAAATAAACAACCACTTGCAAAATACGAATGCCTATGGAGAGGTGGAAAGGCATGGAAAACCTTCTGCTCCCCTTCCTGGTTTAGGAGAAACACAGTTGGGTCACAAACACTACAAACAGCTGGGTCAGTTAGAACTCCTCAGGGAAGAGGAGGGAATAGGATGATATGTTGCTCAATGGAGGCCAGGAGAGCTGCAAGGCACTTCCTATGCTGGGCAGACAGTAAATCCATCACACATCCGTGGCTTTGTCAGATTAGATCAGCATTGGCACCTTCTCCATCTACGAAAGCCAGGACCAGAGCTCCTGGAGTGAGCTCGTCTTTTAATATCATTTCTTCTCACCCTCTTTTTCCACAGTAGCAGTGTTTTTCTTATTGCATAACTGATTTAAAGGGTCTGGGGTGGGGGGAGACAAATCTGTAACAGATCCTGGCTGTGTCTCTGTGATCTCCCTCTCATTTCCCTAATGGTTTATTGTAATTAGATTTGCAAAACCAGCAAAAGGTCTCATTTTGAATGGCAACAGCTGTTGACATCAAGATTACATTGAATAATTTACTGGTTTAATTTTAGCTGCTAAAAAATAAGAGCCTCTTGTTGAAGATTATTTCACTGGCTGATGTTTTCTCTTTTTCCCATTGCTGCCTCTTCCTCTGCTTGTAAGCTGGACACTCTGAATTGCCCCATGGAAAAGGCAGTAATAACTTACATGGCCTGTGCAAAACTATAGGTGTGCATGTGACTATTGCTGTTGTGCTGTACAGGTTCTTAATTCTGGTTCAGATCCATGGGCTGTATTATTCCAAGTGCAACAAATTATTCTGGGCACTTTGACAGGACTTCAGAAATTGATGCTCAGGCTCCTGTACACAGTTTCAAACTCTGTGCATCAGTCCCTGTAGGGAAAGGAGAGCAGTAACACTTGTCTCACAGTACTGCTGCTGGCTTAGCTCACCAATACCAAGTAGCAGAGATTCTGTCAAGGAGCAAATACTAAAAAAAAAGTCATTTTACAGGCCTAGAATTAAGAGAAAGGGCAGCATTTGCTACAAATCAGTGTGGAAGGAAAGCTGAGAGCATTGCTGTGGGAAGTTCTTCTCTGTGGTCTTCAAAAGTGTTTTTTTGTGATAAACTGCTGGGCATTCACGACTAAAACCTGAATGTCATGAGAGACCTGAAAATCAAAGGTTAAATTCCTACTGCACACTCTCTTTTCAGGAGTGGGACAAGTGCTTTACTAAGCCAAACTAGCTATAAAGCCCCCTGTGCTAGGATTGGAGGGCTCCCTGCAGAGTTTGCACTCACCCTTGGGTGCAGTTGGGGTGACAGGGATGGCACTCCCGATCCTCATCGGCGTACTTGAAAATGAAGCTGTTGGCCCCCTGCAAGCCATCAGGGCATTTTTCCACACAATTTGGACCATCCTTAAAATGGAAACACTTTGTGCAGTGGTCAGGTCCCTGGAGAATGTGGAAGAAAGAAATGCAGTGCATTGAAGTTACTCTGCCCTTTCCTGCTGCACTAGGGTTGCACTGGCACACACCCAGCAAATCTTGCAGCAGCTTCTCTTCCCAAGGATCAGTAAATTACCTGCACGGCTCCAGCCTCTCAGACAGATAATTCCTGGTGCTTTTGGCCATTAGCTTCTTCTGTAGAGTGCAAGACTAAATACTCTAGATAGGCTTCTTAATATTATTGGTGTGCTTAATACAGTGAAGTCAGTGCCCACTTTAATGCTGAGAAACTTTCTGCTACACTATTCAATACTGAAGCAGCTTTGCAAAGTTCTTCAGTGGGATCTCCTGCCTCTGTACCTCAAAACTATTTTCCACAAGCATTCTGCACATGGCATCTGGTCACAGCAAGAATGAAGGACTACAAGGTCCTTCATCCTACAAGATAAATGATTACAAGGTCTCCTTCTTAATACACAAGAAGACCAAATTGTTAAGACCAACAAACCAAGACTCCTGGACAATGTAAAAGTAAAATTTTAAAGGCGTGATGATAAGCCAGTGTATAACTAAATCAGGTTGAGCATTGGCCTAGGATTTTATATCCATAAGCCCTGCTACAAATCCAAATTTCCGATGGGTTGAACACTTGAAACATTAGCTTCTTGCCTTATGGCTGTACTGCAGAAAAACACAGTATTGTAAGAAAAATTATGATGCCTTTCTTTTTTCCATTCAGTAAGTCACAGAAATAAAGAAATAAATTACAGGCTATATTTTCTCAATTATGAAGAGCCTAAAATACATCTCCTCATTTCCAGTATACTTGTGACTTTTAATCTTGGCAATACACAGAAAACTAGAAGAGACAATTTCTATCTCCCAAATGAGCAATAATCTTTGAAAGACAAGTTACTGGTCATTATAAAGATGAGAAAGAGTTAACCATCATTTAGGATGCATGAAAAATGTTATCTATCAAAAGAACTTAAGTACAAAAAACCTCCCAGCATATTGTCCAAACTGAGAGACACAGACAAATTCCCCCACTGTTGTTTTGGGGTTTTTTTGGGAAGAGGGGTGGTGTATAAAGAATGAAAATAGGGATAAAAGAGGGCACTCAAACCCTAAATGCATGCTGTCTGTCTGTAAAAATTGTATGCATCTGTACCACTAAAGCATCAAGACAACTCAGGAAGGAAAAGGAAAACTTTTAAAATCTCTTTCTTAAGGAGGCAGATCCAAGGCACATCCCAGCACCAATTTAGCAAGAGTAGAATTCCTTCCCTACATGCAGAATGTGTGTTTTCTGCTTTTGTTTCACTAATTTTTTTTTATCCTTCAGCACATTTTTGCAGGTTACCCTGAGCCATAACAAATCAAGCAGACCAAACCCTACAAACACGACAGGCTGTGTCCTTACCGGCCCATAGCAGGTGATCATGTTTTCCTCCATCTTCTCACACTGGGGATCACACTCCACACACACAGAGCCGTTTGCAAACTCTCGGAATTCCCTGAGGAAATATTTTGCAGGCAGGTTAGGAGAAATCTGACTCCAGGCCAAAACTGAGCTCACCTGGTTGGGTCTTCACCTGATGGAATTGATCTCAGGTGTCACAGCCACCACCTCGTCCACAGCCACGTGAAGCAGAGACACCTTCCTCACCACTATAAAACTATAGCAAGGGCCTGTCTCTCATTTAGAAATACAGACTTCATTAACAGGACAAAACTGGTGGCTTCTTGATTTTCACCTACAGGATTGTGGCTCAGATTCAGGAAGCCACTAGCCACATGTGAGCACTGATGACAGCTGCCCTTGTTTCAGGTAGGTCTCTGAGCACATGTTTTAAAGACAGTTCTCCAAAAGGCTCATAATGTTTTCGGCAATAATTCTAGACTGAGGTCTCAATCTATAAAATGTCAAAACAAATCCTTTTACTGATTTATTTAATGGATCCACAAGAAACCACCACTCAAGTGACTTTTTTTATTAACCACTTTTAAGGGGGGAAAAAAGGTAGTGATGGCAGGTTGAATTTCTTCCTTCAAACATTTCAGTTGCCAGTTACCCCTCACCACAAACCTCCAGCACTCTCCCAACACAATCCATCCCACCTTCTTCTAGGCCAAGACGAATTCACATCTGAGCAAGTTGCTTCTCCCCCACTAAAGACAGACTGAATCTTTGTGGCAGTCTCAGAGTGGACCAGGCCAAGCTTTGCATGGGGATCCCATCTTGCTGCATTAACCAATTACAATATTTGCATGAACCAGTTACAGATGTGCTGCACACTCATTTTAGGGGGCTCCAGAAGCATCCAGGTAAAGGTTCTGAGCTCAGGCGGTCACTGCTCACCCTCCATTCCTCTACAGACATTGGGATCTGCTGAGGACATCAGGATGGAGCTGAGGAAAATCTCACTTGAGCTCACCCTTCCCTGGCTCTGGGAGTGTATTTTTCCTGCTGAGGACTAAAAGAGATGTCAAACATAGCTTGACCTTGGCTGAAGAACTGTTGCTGCCCTACAACATCAACATGCAGAGCTCTCCCACAAACAAAAAGTTCTCCCCCAGCCCAGGTTATAAATATTTTCACATATTTAGGACAGAACTGAGCCTGCGGGATGTGTCAATGCCATTCACTGATGGATAGTGAGTAAAACAGAACATACTGATTGAGTCTCCTCATGCTCCATGACAGGCTCCATGGCAGCAAAACACATCAAGGGGGATCAACTTATTCCAGTGCACTGACACCACAACTGGGATCTGAAACTCTCCTTATTGGCAAGTGAAGGGGGAGGAGAGAAGGGGAGGTTGTAAGTACATAGAACTGTGCTCTAACAAAGTATTTTTTGCAAGCCTTCTCCAGGTGGAAGAGTTAGAATATTTCCATGCATTTGTGGGAGTTCATTTGGCTTAGTTCAGCTTTATTTTTCTCTCATAACAGTCCACAACCTTGTGCTGTGGAGGTGTTCCCCCAGTATAAGCAGCAAAAGGAAAATGGGCAAAAACTCCTGTTGGGTTTTTAGATTTATATTTATGTGTGCAATTACACAGTGCATTATGAAAAAGAGAGTGAGTTTTTCTACTTTGGGGTCCTTATTCAGGGAATTTCTTTATCAGATGCCTCAATCCAACTCATCTGAAAGAATATAATTGTATGGTTCTGAAAAAGGGTATCAAGTAGGGAAAAATTAGGATTTTTTGGTAACTTTTCACCTAAATCAAACTATTCATGTTACCAGCAATGCAAAAGGTGCAAGGTGATGATGTGCATGAAAACTTAAGTCAGTGGCATACCAGGGAAAGTGTTCCACACAAGTTCAGATTTAAAAATCCTTAAATCTTACCCCATGACACGTTTCACCCCAAATCAGTAATACTGGCAGTGGGGCCAGATACTGATTAATGCAAACCCAAATTACTTGCTCACTGAAGTCCTCAACAATGCTAACTAGCAGCCGTGGGGAGAAGCCAAGGGGAGTGTCTTACCCGTCGTAGAGGTTGCAGGAGTCGATGCAGGTCCTGCCCCGGATGAAGCGCTTGCAGGACAGGCACTGGTCTGGCCCTGGCCCCCAGCAGCCGTCACTGGAGCACAGCTCGTTGCACACCATGCCATCAGCAGCTGCAGAGACACGGCTGCTGTCAGGAATGCACACAGCCCCCCAAACCCAGGGGAAAACATCCCGGCCGCACCGAGCGCTGGAAATGTAACCGGGGCGTCCACATTTCCCAGGAATGGGTGAGACACCAAGCTCACAACTCACTTTGGTTACAAATCCGTTGCACATTTAGGTGAAGTGTGCTGTTTGGAATTGTTTCATTTGCATAGTCTAATTAATTTACTGCACTCGTGAAAAACCCGTAACTTACAAAACTACCTCAAACAAAATAAAAATAATGTGAACTTCCAAACTAGAAGAAGATAAGAAGAACCCCTTAGAGCTTGAAACAAGAAGCAAATCAAAACTGAAACAACAAGAAGGAAACCAAAATTAAAACTACAAGAAACAAACCACCAAAGAGCTCTCTCTGTACAAGAACTGATAAGAATAAATTGTAACATGAAATTAGAAAAATAAATATAATATAAATTAAATATAAATGTATATTGTATTTCTATAAAAATATATAGTGTATATTTATATATTTATTATATATAAACTATTTATAAAATAATATTTATTTATAATAATGTATGTATATCTAATTATATCTATTAATTTATATTTTTATATAAGATATAAATAGATAGTGTATTTATACATAATATAAATATAAACTATATAATATAAATAATATAAATAAATATAAACCTACTGCAAAACTTAACACATACACAACAAATTAAGAGACAAAAAAAGAAACTAGACTCCCAGAGAGTGCCCAAGTTCTTTAAAGAACTATCCTGCATGCAGCCAGCACTAAATAAAAATACACACCTACTTCACAGCTTTTACAAGTTTTTTTATACAAAGTTTTTTCCACAAATCACACAACAGAAAAAAGCAAATCACCATTGTGCCACAACACAAATACACAGAGCACTCAGCTGGATATTGTGCACTCTCCTGGTCTGCTCCTTTCAGAAAAAACTGAGCAGGAAAAAGATTTAAGAGAGTGCTGTAAGGATGATCAAAACCAGAGAAGGGCTTCTAAACCAGGAATAACCAGAGAGGTGGGGGAGGAAGGACATGATTAAAGTTTCTAAAATCCTGAATGGCAAGGAGGAGGTGAGTAAGCATGAAACAATTGTTCACTGCTTCTTCCCAGTCCCTCATGGGCATTCAAAGAGACAGGAATCCAATAGGGTTAAAATCTGAGATTTTTCTTCGTAGAAAGTAAAGATCAACCTGTAAAATTCCCTGACACATGACACGGTAAATGCCAAAAATTTAAAGGATTAAAAAAATCAACTGTCTGAATTCACTGAAGTTCTATTGAACTAAAATATAAAATGCTACTTATGAATTGAGGACTCACTGAAATAAAACTTACGGACAGTGGGGAAATAACTGAAGGAAAGACATCGTTAATTGTGATTTTAAAACTGTTTACTGCAAAAGCACCTGAAGAGCCAAAGAGCCTTTATACTAAACACTCAAGCCCACACAAAAATACACAATGAGCTAAGGGTTAGAGGGAAAGTTAGTTTAAAACAGTGTAAGTCTGTATTTTTATTTTATATAAATAATTCCCTATGTGACTATCTAGATGATGAGAAGATGGAGAAAATAAGCAAAAAGCAAAAGGAAACATTATCTCTCCAGTATCTGAAGGAAATCTGGGTGCACTTTCAACCTAACCCTGGCATGTGAAAGGAATTAATTTGAATTTATTTTTGCACAATGCAGTGTTTTACACAAATGGATTACACACTGGACTGAGTAAATTAAACCCAGCAAGGACCTGAAATATCAGTGATGGCAACAATACAGACACTTGTTTGCTTTTTACACCACTGGAAACAACTTGAGAGGAATCATAAATGAAAAGGATGTGTGCTGCTTGAGTTCTACCACCCTCTCCAGTACTTCCTTACTCAATACACCACAAATAACCTCAGGCATGAGAAGCCTGAACATGTTTTATCAAGGCTGGATTCAGTTTTTTTCCTTTCTATATCACATATGATTTTTAATGCCAACATCCAAAAGGTATTCAGAAGTATCTTTTTGGTTTTTCTTTTTTCTCAAAGCTCAAATCAGGAACAGCCAAACACAAAGTTATTTCAATTAGGAGTCATTGCAGGTGCTCAGTATGCTTTAAAGTGTATTAATTATCACAGATTCCAGCACAGCAAGAGGGACTCAGGAGGCCATTTCAGAGAGATGCTTTGTCTTCCTTCCCTGAGCTCTGCTGCTGCAAAGGAGCCAGACCAGCACAGCCAGGAGGAGCAGAGACACGAAATTCAGCTTCTCATCACTGTCCTCACCTGACTTCCTTTTAAGCATAGTAACATTTTTATAATAATTATCAGATGTCAGTAGTTCCACTATACTGCCACTGCCTGAACCCACAAATAAAAACAAAAAGAAAACCCACAAAGCCAGAAACTATCCTAGTTACAATTAAACAAACTTTTTATATAGTTTCATATGGTTTTTGTTTTCTAATCAATCACTCATTTTAAATCTTTGTCACGCAACAAAGAAAAACTTCACCTTGTTTGGAAATCCCTTTATTTCCTCATTTTTAAGAATTTTGCTAGCTCTTCTTATTTTGTTTTTCCACACTCATCACAGAAAGGCAGTTCCCTGTTGGCTTTCTCACCTTCTTTGTAACTTGAAATTGTGATTTACTACTAGTGATTTGCTTTCTTTTCATTTTTCTCGCCCTTCAAACTACTCTGGGATCAGAATTTATTTGCACAGAGTATTTCACTAAAATACTTGTCCAACTAACATAGGATATTATTACAAGATAGCTCAGAAAATCCAGTGAGTAAACTGTATACAAAAAAGAGAGCATTTCAATAAAGAAAACCATGATTACCCCATTGAAATGTAGCCAACACAGTGCCTGTAGTCTTATGAAAAAATCAACAGAAACAAAAAAATTATGATTTCCTCCTGAAATGTTTTCATAGAAGAATCTTGGCAAGGAGGGAGTGGTTGTTTTGACAACTTATGAAAACTCATTTCGCTCGCCTTTCTCTTCTTTAATTGTGGGAATAGCTAAAAAAACATTTCAATTTTTGACACATTATTTGGCAATTCCATGGGCTGAGCATGTTCTGCAGCTCCAGCACATCACATGGCCTTATGTGGAAGGAAATAACAACAATGTTCTTGACAGAAACTGGATTTTGTCAGGGGTTTTAGAAGAAGGGCTCATTCTTTATTAATGGGGCCACACAGGTTAGGAGCAGAAAGGTTCAATGTTTTTCCTCAACCTAAATAGAACACAAGAAAATTACCTACTAAAAAAAGAAAAATTATTTTTATTTGGCTGCATGCTTCTGGGCCTGATCCAAAGCTCCATAAACTGAATAGGAAAACTCCTGCAGACTTCAATTAGCTTTACATCATGCCTGATAATGAATGTAATAATTTATTCAAGTTGTTAATTGGTGGCTAGATTGATATAATTCATAATAATCACATCTCTAACAACCTTTGCCTAGAAGGGTTTCACCTTACACTGCAGGTGTCACTAAAGCTGAGAGAATTGTTCAAGCAACTTTGGAGAAAAGAACACTTTTTCTGCATTTATTTTGTATGCACTCATATTTCACATGACTCATCACTGACTGTTCCATTAAAAAAAAAAAAAAAAAAAAACAAACAAAAAACATGCTGGAAAAGAAGAGGCAGACTTTTCACTTCAGCATGGAGCAAAGGTAAAATCTACCTACCCCTTCCTTGGTGATTTGCTCCATTCCCTGTGCACATGAGCTTGGACACTGACACTTCTATCCCTGAAAGTGTATATAGGGAAGTGGAGAAGGGAGAGGTCACATCCCTTCCATGTACACCCCCTTTCTGGCCCTGCATGGCACCATCTCAAAAAGAAGATACAAAGCACTAGAATATCCCGAGGGATTATGGATTTAATTTTTTTTAAAATTAAAAACACACACATATATTTTGCTCCTGTATTTTCAGAATTCTACAAAAAACAGAAGTCTGCCTAGGTTTTTAATCTATTTTTAAACAGTCATCTTGGAGGCAGTAAAAGATTTGGGGACTGTTTTAACATAGTTAAGAAGTGGTGTAAAGAGTAAAATTGAATAATTGAGGGTATGTGGAATACAAAGTATATTTTGCATGCTGAAAAATGTAGCATTTTCCACTGGCTGAAGTCTGTTGTCTTTGTCTTCTTCATCGAGAAAAAAATTCTTATATTCATATATTCATATATATATATACATATATATATATATATATATATATATATCTCACTCAGAGTTTTCCCAAACTCTATCATGCCAGTATTATCTCAAAGATGAAGCACTAACACAGACCAAACTTTGCCACAAAAATTTTACTCCCCCTGCAACTTCTGGGTATTTCCTCACTGATGCAGAGTCAGCTGAACACACAGCATTAAAAGGCATAGAAAAGATAGCATCACCTTGTGACAGGTCATAAAAGTAACTTAAATACACTGGTGGCTAGAAGATCTTGGGAGCTCTTACATGAGTTTTCAGAAAAGCTACACATTGATAGAAAAAGGTTGCTGTAATTTGCTTTAAGCCATTAACTATAACTGAGCAGAAAGGAAAAAACTCCAAGCTAATAGTGGCTCAAAATACACAACAAAGTAATAATAAATACCTGTAAGTAGCTGGAATAACTAACATTTTTAGACTGGTTTCTTGAATGAAAGCCATGTGAAAAAACAACTTTGGTGGATATTTTTATTAACAAGTCACACCCTGCTGGTTACCATGAAAGCAAACAGTATTTCTGCCACACAGCATGGATTCTGATCCTCCAAATATTTACTTACACACCTCCTTCTCTATTCTGGTGAGGCTCATTTGGCATTCAAGAGATGTGGGTATGTGCCCAAACATCTGCAGGATCAGTGTCCAGAACAGGCAAAGTAAGGGAAAGGCAGAAATGGAAACCCTGAAGCCTTGCCCTCGATCCCACACCATTGGGCAGTGGAAGGTGCAGGGAAAACTCTCCTAAACCCCAGTCAGTTGGCCTATCCTGGAAATGACAGATTCACAGAATGACCAGGTTGGAAGAGACCTCCAAGATCATTGAGTCCAACCCAGCCCCAACACCTCAACTAAACCCTGGCACCCAGTGCCACATCCAGGGTTTTTTTAAACACATCCAGGGATGGTGACTCCACCACTTCCCCAGGCAGGCCATCCCAGAACTTTATCACCCTTTCTGTAAAAAACTTTTTCCTGATATCCAACCTCTATTTCCCTTGGTGCAGCTTGAGACTGTGTCCTCTGGTTCTGTCAGTGCTGCCCGGAGAAAGAGACCGACCCCAGCTGAGCACAGCCACCTTTCAGGGAGCTGTAGAGAGTGATGAGGGCACCCCTGAGTCTCCTTTTCTCCAGGCTGAACAGCCCCAGCTCCCTCAGCCATTCCTAACAGACACAGCACTCCAGGTGTGCCCTCACCAGGGCCAAGGACAGGGGCAGAATGACCTCCCTGCTCCTGCTGGCCACACCATTCCTGATCCAGGCCAGGAGCCCTTGGCCCTCTTGGCCACCAGGGCACACTGCTGGCTCATGTTCAGCGGCTGTCACCAGTGCCCCCGGGTCCCTTTCTGCCTGGGCACTGTCCAGCCACTCAGTCCCCAGCCTAGAGCACTGCAGGGGTTATTGTAGCCAAAATGCAGGACTCAGCACTTGGATTGTTAAACTTCATCTTACTAGACTGCCCATCCATCCAACCATTCCAGGTCACTCTGCAGAGCCCTCCTACCCTCCAGCAGATGGGCACACACTCCCAGTTTAGTGTCATCTGCAAATTTACTGATGAAATACTCAATACCCTCAGATGCCCCAGAGGGTGCTGGAGAATTGCATCTGGCTCCATGGGCCAGTGCTGCCTTACCCAAGTGATCCTGCAGAGTTTAGGGAGACACCCAACTTGCAGCAGAACCCATTAAACCCCAGAGAGGTGCTAGCTGATAGGCAGAGCTGAAACAGCAGCAAAGCTCTTCTCAGCTAATGCTGGCTAAAAAGGCCACAAAACTTGAATCAATTCACTCACACAGATGTGCAAAGAGAGGAAACCACTGCTCCTGTTAGGACTGCACTGCCTCCCAACTGGAGAGAAAAAGCCACTGTTCCTGTTGGGATTGCACTGCCTCCCAACTGGAGAAAAGAAGCCACTGTTCCTGTTGGGATTGCACTGCCTCCCAACTGGAGAGAAGCAGCCACTGCTCCTGTTAGGACTGCACTGCCTCCCAGTTGGAGTCACTTGACCCCTCGCCTGTGTTCATTATACACTGACCATTTAAAAACCAGCCCCTTGGTATTGGAGCTTACTTTGTGACTGCTTAAAAAGGAAACAAATGAGTTATGCTTTCCTCTTTAAGATTCCCACAGTGTTAAATCTCAAAAGATGTCTTTAGGAGTATTTTTCTTCCTGGAAAATGGTAAGTGTCTATTATAACAAATCCTCACCAAGCTAGAAGTGAAACAAAGTTTACATTTTCTCTTTGTGTGCAAATGTAGTGACAAGACATTCCATGTGAGAGGATGATGTGACAGCACATCCCCGTTTCCATTTGCTGTGGAAGCCCATCTTTCAGTAGCTGTGGCAGCTTCAAAGGGATTCAAACTGAGTGATCCCAGGAAAGGGCAAAGAGGTATTTGACAAAGGAGCCCTGACAACTAATGCAAGATTATGTTCCAAACTGCTGTGCTCAATTGTTGCGTCCCAAAGCTCTCAAAAACAGTGAAACAACTGGGACACTGCTCCATGAAGGGTAAAAACACCTTACAAAATTCACCTGAGTGATTTCCCATTGTCTCCTAACATGTTACAGAGGAGGGAAGTTACAGAAGTCTTGAAGCAAAGAGGAATTATTACTATATGAAACATGAGGCCTGTGCTCCACCTTATTACTGCTTAGTTTGTTTTTATATTAAATGTCTGGGAATGAAGGAAAGTTGATTGTTCTTTTCATTAAATATTGCATGATAATCAGACAGCTAGAGCCAATCTGATGTAAGAAAACATCAGAGCACCAAAAGAATGATTTTTTGTCCCGTAGTAAGCAGTTTTTCATCTGGTAGAGTGGAAACCTGTGCTCTCCAGAAGGTTCACAAGTTCATCTACCTCCTGGCAAGATGGGACCTACTCAGATCTGGGAATATAACCTTGTTGTCTCTTTCACGGTCAACAAAACCTTGAACTTTGAGCTTCTTCCTTCTTCTGTTCTGTCAGCCCAAAAATTCCATATGGGAAATCTCAAAAGGGCTAATTCTTCCTTCATGCAGTACAAAACACAGTTGTTAGAGAGCACAAGTGCAGAACTAGGTCGTTCCTCACCATGTGATCCTGTTACACTGCAGGGGAAAGAGCAGTGCCACATCCCTGGGCAGATTTGCCATCCTTCTATTTTCCAATAAATACTCTATTTTTATAGCCTGCTTTCTATGTAGGAGCAGAAGAAAAACCCTACACCCTCAGGCACAGCCACAGTAAAAACTGCCAGCAGGGACAGCAAGCAGCATTTTCTTAACCTTCACTTTTTTAACTTGCATGTAAAGAAATAGCCTAATAAAATAATAATTTAAAAAGCCACGCAACCAAAACCATGTGGAGATCGATGAAACAAGACTTTGTACTTCCTGTGGCTCTGCCATGGTAGGAGAAATTAGAAAAGTAACTGAGCAGCAGAGACAAAGCTCCAGCTGTGTTTCACCTAACACTGAAGGTACACTTACACTATACACTATATGACCACAGCCTTTCACTCTCAAAACAGAGCAGAACAGCACTTCAAAGGGAAAGGAGATGAAAAAAAACAGAAATAAAATCCCTCAAAAAACAACTAACAAAAAATCCCTCAAACCAACAGAAAGAAAGAACTAAAGTGCAAGTCAAAAATAGGACCACAGCTTGAAAAAACCCAAAGCAAACATTTTTGGCTGGTCAGAGCACAAAAATCAGCAATATCACTTAAACATACAGCAATTTAATTAATCTCCTCTCCTATAAGCAGTCTAACAGATGCTTAAAATGAACTGCCTTGCTGCTACAATATGCCTGTATTGATGCAATTTGCAGCCTGATTTCTATATAAACAAGTTATTTTCTCTGCTATAGAGCTTTTTTGGCTTTTCAGTACTATGATCTCAGCCTAGGTACTGGCATGTAAGCTTTTCTGAAGTAGTATTTTTTATCAGATAGGTCAAATATGAAAAGGGAGAAGTTAATGACCTAAACCAGTCCTAAAAGCACCATTTTGGGTTAAGATAGGGCCACTTAGGGTGGGGGAAGCAGAAGATCCTAATACCATATGGGAAGGGCTGTAAAGTCATGCATACCCCATTGACAACCTTTGGAATCCATATTTGTGAAACTGGAACATTCCCATCATGTTAAGGAAGCAGCTCTCTCTCTCTGCTCCCTTTCCTTTGCCCAGACCTTAAAACATTTCATTTTCCTGCTCAGACTGGGCCAAATCCCTGGATGCTGTAAGTGACCACAGCTCCCCTGATGCCCCTGGAGCTGCACAGGCTCCCAGGTGAGCTGGTGGCAGTGAGCAGCAGGCACTTACTGCAGTTCTCTGCCCTTTTGTTCCTGTGGATCACTGTCTTCTGGCTGGGGGTGCTGAACAGGCTGGTCCAGTTGACAGTGTGGTAGTAGCACAAATTGCTGTTGTCTGTGATGTAGATGTTGCCAGCACTGATTTGCTTCAAGGACTGGAACTGCAGGGAAGTGATGCCTTGTTGCTTCAGGATGAGCAAGGAAAGGCCACTGGGATGAGAACAAAAGTGAGAGAGAATAGGAATTAACTTCAGAAGAAACAGCTTGTTATATCTGGTAGGGAACTGCCAATTGGAATTAGTTATAAGTGTCAAGATGATCTTTTTGGAAAAACTGATAATTGTTCAGAAAACTTTTATTTTGTGGTAACACAAATATTTTATGAGTCAACATCCAGTTCTATTGGCTAGGAAGTTATGAGTCCTGTTAGGAGTGAGATACCACAAGCTGTGATCTCATATCACTAGGCCAAGTAAAGCAGCAGAACTCCTCAACCAGTTTCATTTCATCCATTAACAGGGTTTTTTGAGATAATGTGCTGTTAGGAAAAACCTGAATTTTATTCAGTTTTATTTCAATAGAATTAATACTATGATAATACTATGATAAGCTAAGGAAAATGTATTAAAACATCTTCTGTCAGGCATCAAATTAATGCCATTTCAAGTAATACAGGAAAAAATTGTTATTTTCATGCATTTTTTTTCCCAGCCCCCTTTCTACATTTCATTTTTCTTTGGTTGTAAGATGTGGTTATTGCCTTTCTTCATCAAAGGAACAGTAAATGATTGTCTGCACAACATGAAAATGACTGCACATATTTTATGACTGAAGATTAGTGAAGACAATATCCAGTTTCTGGGCATCCTTGAAGTTATTGTATTTTAATGATGATAATTGTTTTCCAGCTGTTCCAAATAAAAATTGCTGCCTTGGAACAGAATGCAGGGCTGTAATTCAACCTCAAGGTTTCACTGCTGTTCATATTCTGCTCAGGTTGCTGTTTAAGATGCCAAGAGAATCCCATATCTGATTTACTCCATCTCCAAAGTGCGATTCAGGGATTGCTGTATAAATTACTCAGGTACCTCCTTGTGCTTCCCCCAGCACTTCTTCTCTTCAAACCAATTTCTCCATCCGAGTTTCCAAACCGAAGCATGAAACGTCTCTGGTAAAAAATGGCACTACAGAGCTCATGAACACCTCACCTGCAAGGTGCCTCAGTGATTTCAATGTTCTTCCACCTTTTACCTCTTCTTAAAACCACTTTGTTGTTTGGGCATGTGAGCCTGCATGCCTAATCACAGCTATATAAACTCCTAGTAATGAGGCTAGAGTTCTACTATTCATTCCTTTTAAACTATGTTTCTTCACAAAATATTTTAAACCATAAATGTAAGTTCCAGACAATGAGAAATAGCTACAGCCATGAACCAAAACTAGTTTTTTAAATAATTATGTTGAGAAGGTGTTACCTGTTATAAACAACTGATTAGCAAAGATCCTGCTAATGAACACCTTGGTAACAGAGGAAAAAATATATCAATTTACAGTGTCCTTCCCAAAGGACGTCGCATTCTCTGCTACTGCACAAAGAATCACAGAAAACTAATAAAAATTATTCCACCAACAGAGAAGCACCTTACCTATAGAGAGCTCTCCCACCAATGGTAACCAAGTTAGAAAACACCCTGAAGTCTGTCATATTCTCAGGCCATGACTGTATGTTCAAATACCCTGAAGAAGGAAGAGGCAAACATGTGAACACAAATTATTTCAGCCACATGTGAGTTAGGACAGGCTTAGCCTAGAAAGGAAGGAGTGCCAGCTTGAGGCAAATAAATAAATAAGGAAAGCTGCAGACTCTTCGGCTGCTCACCACCATCTCCTTCAAAAAAGAGAAGGAGAACTTGTCCTGATTTCCAAGACGAGGGCTGCTCACTCTCTGTTCAAGCTGTGTTGTGCTGCACAGACCACCAGAGAGGGCAGCTCCCCATGACTTTGCCTCTACACCGGGCTGAAATGCAGTACACAGAGTTAAGCACAGGGGTAATTCCACTTCAGCAGCATGGCTGAGACCGTCAATTAGTGTGTTTAGGAATGCAAATAACATTCACCCAGGCGCCAGATTATCTTTGATATTAATTAGGAAGAGATTAGGAGTTTACTTTCATTTTTAATCCTATCAGTTTGCTGAAATTCACAACTTTTGAGAGGTGAAGTATGCTGAGATCCACACAGCTACAATCAAGCTGTGGTGCCCAAAGGTATTTTGGTGGGGTTTTTTGTGCATGAAATAGAACAAATTTTGGCATTTCCCTACCTCTATATAATCAGAAATCAAATGAGAACTCAGAGCTGTCATATTTCCCTCCATGTCCCCCACATGGTGAAACAGGAAAACAAAATACTGAGTACCTAGGTCTATGACCCCATTGAAAAGTCACAAAAAATGGGACACACCAACACATTATACATCTGTCTTTAAATTAAAAAAGCTAACTTGCAGCAGAATTCTCTGTTAGACCAAGGGAAGGAGCTGTAAAAGCAGACTAGAACTTTGAAATGCTTGGAGGTGAAGAAAATGGTTTCCCACATTTCAGCACCATTTTCCTCACATTTCCCTCCCTTGCAACACTTGTCCTACTTTGCTAACATGGGACCAAGATCCTTTGTCCATTTAGCATCTGCCATAATGGGCATCCTGTGTTCAAAGGAGAACACAGTTGTGAAAATCAACTGATACTGAAGTTTTCTATATTAGACTTTCATAAAAATAACAGCGTGGTGAGCTTTATGAAAATAAGTACCTTGTGTTCTTCAGAAAACCCAACACATGACAACTATAAATGCAAAATGAGAATGAATTCATTAATTAAAGCAGATTATAGGAGATCAGAAGTGTGTTGTTACCTGTTATCTCTCTCACTGTTTGGAAGATATTTAATTTCTCTGGATTGATGGCAGCGATCGTGTGATACGGGTCTCTGAAAGATTAGAACCACACAATGTGACACTCTAAATAAGAAAAGATCAGGTTCTCAAAGCCATACCATGCAGCAAACAGCATTAATTTGCTCTTACGAGGATATGCACCAAGCTTCTTCAGCCTGTAGTTCCTGCAGATCTGTGTCTAACTTCTCCCATATCATCTTGAAGAAATATCAAGGTTCAACCCATTTGTGTTTAAGCAAATATTTATGCTATGGAAAATCAAGGAATTATAAACAACCATGGGTGACCTTCCTAAAGGAAAAATGAATTTTCAGTGTTTTTTCCAGGAATGTATAGCAGGACTAACAAAGCTGCTCCTAAAAGGTGTGACAAGGTATAAGCAAAATTAAGCTAAGAGCACGCCAGCAGTTCCTGACAAATGGCTTTTAAATGGCACACTTTTTAGAAGGTGCTAAACAAGGAACCTCTAAAAGTACGGATCCTTGCCAAGTAAGTTTGTCAATGAAAAGTGAAATAACTTCCAAAACTTAAAATTTTAAACATAGATATGCTATAGTATAAAAATATGAAGCTGACCTTGATTTTGAGAGTGCCATCATTTAGCAAATATGTTACTTTCCTCCCCTCTTTAAAAAGTCAACCAGAAGCTTAAACCAAACCAAAATTCCTCTGCAATGGCACGTTATGGTATTTTTGTGTGTTTTCTGAGAGAAGGAAACATCCCCAATAAATATGGAGCACACATTTCCTCCTCTCCTCCTCCTGCTTTCCAGGACACGTGATTCTTGGAACTGAAACATGCAGGTGGATGCACCTGGCTGTCTTTGGGGACAGGACTCACAAATCTGCGAGGTGACACACTGCTGGGGTCACCTCTAACCATCCTGAGCAGCAAGAAAAGGAGTTCTACAACGTTAACAAAAAAGCCCAGTGGCCCACAGAGGCATCAAACACATTTTAACAATGTGAGGCTCTCAGGAAACTAAATAACAAGTTTTGACTACCTAACAGAAACACAGCACTTTGCTTTCAAATTGCATTACCATCAAAAAAGGAAAACCCTTGCCTGCAATAAACATGAGGCAGCTGAATTTTACCTCTAAATTCTGAAGATAAAATAGCTTTAAAAATGCAGATATACACTTAAACCCCTTAAACAGCCAAATGTCTGCTGTTTTATCAACATATAAAACTGTGGAATAGTGTATATCTTAATGACTTTAAATAGATGTGTATAAAACATTCATCATTACATATATATATTTACATAAATTATAACAAATTCACAAAGACTTGAAGTTTATGTGCTCAGGAAAGAACTAGGCTACAGAACCATAGGATCAAAATATAGGACAGGGTCAATTGCAACAGCACAATTTCCAATGGAAACAACAACAACAAAAATATCCTCTGCATCTTTCACCAAAATTACTCTTTGCCACCACCAAAAGTCTTCCAGTTCCCCAGAGAACCAGATTTTAAGTCCCTACAATCTAAAACACTAAAAATTCATACTGTAAAATTTGCAGTTCACTGTGAATAAATGAATTTGTGAAAAAAGTGAAGTAAAAGTTGGAGAGGAAATAAGTAAAATTGTTGTTTGTCTCTGTCCATTTATATAACAAATTACTTGTGTAGTCAGTGTCATTTTTTACATTTCCCTTTCATATTGCTGGTTTGCAAAATGTCATTGAAACTTTAAATAAAAAAGCTGTTCCAGACATCTAGATTTTTTTCAATCATTCTCAAAGCTTCTCTTCTTTTAACCTGTACTAATGTAATCCATGCTGCAGAAAAATGTAATGTTGCAGAATTCTGTGCCCTCATACTTTAGGCTTGCTGAACTGAGTTTTCTTCATCAAGAATGAGACACAAAGTGCTACACACTTTCAACATTACATCTTCTACTCTTCTGTAAAACAGAAGAGAATATTTTAACTTTCTGCTTATAGTCCACATTTAGATATTTTTCAGAAAAGTACAATTTTATTCAAGGTTGGGTTTCGTTCTTTTAATTTAGACAGATTTTTAAATGAGCTAATATAAATTTTCCTGCAAAAACAGTTCTTATACTCAAAATTAAATTTAATGTAATGCACTGGATTAATCTGCAAAAAATTGCTCATGGGCTTTAGCTGCTTGTCTTGCATTTACTTGATTTTTTCCTGTCCTGTGAGATTTAACAGGTTTCCATCCAGCCTCTCAGTGGGTCATTTGATCAGAGCAGAGCCGTGTGACACTTTGGGGTTTTTCTGGTTCTATTACAATAAGCAAAATTTAACCCAAAATACTGGATTTATACACCAGTGAATTCTGGGTGCCTCTGAAACTGAAATAGATTCTTCAAAACTGATTGACAAGAGGGCAGCTTTTGTGCATGTGTGTGTACTGACAGCCACCCAGACTATGACAAGTTATGCTAAGAGAGGCTGCCTCTCTGCCTGTTCTGCATATTATTGCCATACAAAATTTAAACAAACTCATGGAAGGTAACTTCCTTTCTCCCTTTGGTTCTCTAATCAGCCTTTATTGTAAGCCAGTATTGAGGACCTCAAAGTAATCAGAGAATCACAGTTGTCTTTTCTTTTTAGTGCAAACAATTCATCCACCCTTTCTTTTCCTAGAGGTTGAATCTTAAGAATCAAGGCAATGCATTTCTTCACAATGGAAGACAGAAAGCTAATTTATCCTGGATCTGCTATTGCATAAAAGAAGCCTGCAGTCTTCATTAAGAGGTGGATGCAATTGGTTTCAGCTGGCACCATGACATAACATCTTAACATTTTGTCACTTACCCATGAATCCCAGTGACAAGGAAGATAAGGTTGCCATTGATCTTGGTACAGTTTACAAACTTGTCAATGTTGCTGGAATCCACCGTCTGAGCTGACACCAAACTCCCTGTCCCAATGCCATCACATGCTGCCAAAACAAGGAGCTTGTGTAAAGAACTGGGGAAAACAATTACTGAATCAGAACACGTTGGCCTTACAGACACGAGTCCTCATCTCATTCAGCAGAAAGGAGTTTAAACAGCATCCTTGACCCATATTCCCAAAGAAGCACATGCCAATTTAAACCAAACAGTGAGCTACAGTACCTGCCACAGAACCCTGGCACACAGGTTAAGGTCTTTCACATGGGATCTTTCACATGGGATCTAAAGGTGAGTATCAGCCACACAAAATCCCAGCACATAAAATCCCACTCAGCCCAGCCTTGCCATTTCTTGGTGCACTGGGCACTACAGAAACTGAGGGTCCTAACATTGCGGGGGGGAAATGCTGCTTCAGGTTTTAGCTTTTATGTTTTTCAGATTCTGTACTGCTTTAGTGTGTAGTTCTGAGCTTTGTATTAAGGGATGGTGAGCTCTCTTCACAGAGTAGGTAGATAAAACAACTTCTTCGCTAGCTGGGAACCAAGGACAAATGATCCAAATCTCAGGCCCAAGAGCATAAACAACATGGACTGAAGAGAGAAAAACAAGAAGGATGGGACTTCATAACCTAAAGCTGTAATTGGAAAATTAACCCCAATATGCAAATGGACCAGAACTTATAAAAGTGAGAGACCCCGTGACCGGTCGTCCATTTTGTGACCATTTTGGTTCATGGGGTGCAGCCCTGGCTGGGCTCTTGTGCTGCCCAAGGTGGATTCACTGAGGCCTTTTAATAAATCCCTACTTTGTTCTTTAACTCCATCTAGTCTCTGTTCTAAGTCAGCCTTTATAAGGCATGACAGAGGTCCCCTTCTCTGGTGGATTTTTGGACTTAACCATCCATGCCATAAGGCCCTTTAAGAGGTTGTATAAATAACTTTTTATTTATCAGCTCAATCAGCAAAGTACTGGTACCTGGAGAAACGGACAACCAGTGAGGAAACTGCTCTGTGTAGCCTGTCTATGTAATTTACTGCATTTTCTGGGACACAGGATGCATCCAGGAACAAATCCCTCATGACTTCAACCATATAACATATTCTCTCTTCCTAACTGGGCTCCTCTAATTGCAGCTACCAGCAGAAGCTTTTACAAACATGTGATAGCTTTCCTCTTGCAAAATTAAGGAACTCCATACCTGTGTTTTCATGTATAAAACTATCTATTCAGCAACAGCACAAATTATTTACCACAATTAAGCCAGATGCGGCTTCCATTAGGACTGAAAATGGCGTAGGGCCATGTAGGAAAACCTATGATGTTTTGCTGCACAGAGCTTCGAGCAGGGAGCAGAAAGTCTCCTTGCTGGAGTCTAGAACAGCAAAGTAACCTACAGATTTCAGTCTTCTCAACAGAACCATCACTGGTCTGTGTTTGAGACACTAAAAAAGGGGGTAGAAGATTCTGGGAAAGCAGAGACAGAAGAATGAAATGGAAACCTAATGCTGTATTGACAAATGGGAGACATCCCAGACATTGAAGTCAGGGTTTTTTGTATGGCCCGCTTTGGAATGTCAAAAGGACAATGCTAAAACACCCCCAGGAAATACTTGTCATTAAAATAACACAATAAAGAATTCTTTCAGATTTCTTTAAAACCAACAGAGAAATCCCCTTCATTTGTATCTAATAAAAAGTAATTGATTTGGTTATACTGCCATTACAACTTAATAAATTTTCACTCTATTTTATGTACTTGACACGCAACCTACATAGCTCAAACTTCCGTGGGTACTCAAAGGCTATTCATATTCTATAACACACCCATGAAGGGCAATTCTTGCTAAAATAACAACCTGTGTAACTACTTTCAAGTAAATTTATACTGAACCACTGCCTACCTTTAGGACAAATGTCAGTGCAGGGCTTGCACATCTTAATGCCATTTTCTTCAACCTCCATCTTGGAGCTCGGACATGCCCGGACACAAGAGCTGGAATCCACCACAAAGTTGTCTGAAAAGAAAAAGGAGATATTGGCAGCAAGTGAATAAAAGCTGGGTGTGTTTTTGAACTATTGCTACCTTAGCACTTACCCACTGACATTAACATTCAAAGTTCTGTGCTTTCAGAAGTGTACAGGCAAAACAGGCATATTATCAGAGACTTATTAAAAATCCATTTTTGTCAGGCCTGATCTCTTTGTCCTCCCATTTAGCTTTATTATTATTATTTGCAGGGGAAAAAAAAAGGTTACAGTAATTGGAGAGAAATAAAGCAAGATGGTCTGTCCTGTCTTTTTAATGCACACAATATAAATCTGGGATAAAACAGTGCACAGGACAATGACAAGTATTTCAATTTTTTTCCCTGTAAAACAAGAGCCAAAGGGAATATAGACTGACTCTACTTAATTAAACGCTTAATACTGATAAGAAGGAGAAAAAAAAAAGCTAAGTGTTCAACGAAGTATTTGGGCAAATAATTATATCCCCTATAGTACATGATATGAGGTTCTTAACAAACCAATCTTGCTTCAACAAACCCACCCCTATTACAGGCAGAACTAGGCCCTGGTGGTCACAGCCCCTGGCTGCTGTCACTCCTCCACAGAGATTCAAAATTGAGAATTTGGGTTGGGTTGAATTAAATGACTCCATTTAGTATAGATCACCCATCCTTCTTACACATGATTTATGGACAAAATAATTAATGCACAAGTGTAAACCTTTATGGAATGAAAGGGAGAGCAAGAATACTATCTCCTTTATTACTCTTTCCAATTAAACCAGCAGATTCAAAGACCGTAAGTGATGACCCTATAATTTTTTCTGTTACTTGTCATCATCTGGCTGGTATCTCAGAAGCATGTGGGTTTTGCATGCATGGGATTCTTCTTTTTTTAACTCACTCTTCCCCTCTAAATTTACTCTGGAGTTTTAAGACTGCATTCTTGTCAGTATGACAAGTTTATTCCTCATTGGGACAGAACTGCTCAAGGTAACTTTCTGTCAAATCATCCTTACTCCAAATTAGGGGCATCAATATCATGGAAGCATTTGGTACCAAGTGCTGCTGGTGGACTGTTATTTTTCTGAAACAAAAATTCATACCCTTTTACAATCCCACTATTTTAACTATTTATTTCCACTATTTTGGAACTTGCAAATACTGATCTAAAGCATGAATGCAACAAGCAGTTGACCATGAGAATAGAAACCACCTTTCTTTAGGAAAGCCACTCTAGGATCCTTGGGGACTGCCAGCAGCACAGAATGTCACTGCCTTTAGTTATCACCTAAGTGAGTTATTACAGGCTGTGGAGTGATTGGAGGGATGGTGCTCTGCACTCAGCTCTCATTCTCTCCCTGTTTTTAAGGCTCCTGAAATGCAGCTGCAGCTCCCCACGAGAGAAGGCAGAGAGCAGGGCAGGTAATGCAGCACTCACGTGGGCACTTCTTGACGCAGAAAGCCCCGTAGGTGTACTTGGCGTTGTGATTGTGCTCCAGCTGGAAGGTGGTGGGGTTGTACACAAAGGTCTGGGGGCACTGTGTGACACAGGCACCACTGTCATTGAAATTCATACAGGCCTGCAAAACAAGGGAGGGGGAAAAAAAATTAATTAAATCATACAGCTGCTTTAGGGTTTTGGTGGTTTTTTGGTGTAAAAGATAGCCTTGATTGTTCAGACTTGCTGTGACAGGGAGGAATGGGATACAGAGCTCTCTAACATTCATTTTGGCTACTTAGATTTCTGCTAGGATCTTGGCAAATATGTGACTTTTTTAATTAGGGAGTTGGGTGAGCCCCTTTAATTAGCAACAGTTGCCTGTTACAACACTTCCTACAAAACCAAAACAACGCTGTAATTTGTTTCATAACTACTCACAATCAACTAATTCTCAACTTGATAGGACATTCTAAAACTGCCAAGAGTGAGCAGCTATTTATCATCCTCTAAGCAAATGCTAATGACTTTTTCAGAGGTCCAACCCTTTATATTTCTTACAGCATTAGTACATCATCCAGCTGAAAACTGTAATTCCCAATTAGGAGGCAAGAGGGATAAGAACTTCTTTTAAGCTAGCACAGGAGGGGGCCATTTCCCTAAGTGGCAAGTTTAACAAGGTCAGCTGCTTCACACGCTGAGAGAGGAAAATAGGACTTTGTCCCACTTAGCATTCAGGCTCTGCCACACACAGCTGACAGAGGACAGGGCCCTGACAAATGAAGAGGAGAGTGTGTGGATAACAAAAGTAATGGGATGCAGGGAAAACAATTGACCATGCAAGGCTGGTAATTAGGAGTAGAAAGCCCCACCGATTTTGACATTCCTTATCAGTACACATCATGTCTATGGTTTTAACTACAGATTATAAGAAAACTGTTGGAGTAATTTTCACAGAGCATACCATGAATGAAAAATTTGTATGAATATGAAAGCTGTAGCCTGGCCTGGATCCCTCTAGCAGTTTGAGCAGCCACTGTTACTGGGTATTGCCTCTCCACTAACCTGTAATCCAGGCTGCTTTAGAAGTGTTAGCCTAGGAGTGAATCCTTCTGGTCTTTTTCCATTTTTCTTAGTTAAAATACAGATGGTGCTTGTCTTTAAAGAGTCAACAAGTATAACAACAATATATGCATCCTGGCCCTTGCCTTCTGGGCTGGGACTGAGAGAAAAGAGAAAAAGATTCCTCCCTTCTGTTGATTTTGCTAGCAGTCCTTATCTCCATTTGGATCAAGACCAGCAGGACCTTGGGACCTGCCATGCCAGAAGATTTCAGAAAGGAGAGGCTAATAATGTATCCAAGGGCAAAATCTGCTGCTGAAAGGAATGAGCAGGGAGATCTGTGATTAAAGCAGTCCTGCATGGAGCATGTGCTAATCAAAACTGCTGATCCTGCCTTGCCTGGTCCTTTAAAATGCCTATTATAAAACCTGCCAGTTTTTTTTCATAGAAACAGATTTTTTTTTCCCCTTACAAAAATAAACACTTCACTCAGAACTGTAAGGCAAGTCCACCCAAGGAATAGGGTTTGTGTCACTTTTCTGGTTCCACTAGGCAATCAGCCAGGCCCCCCTATGCATTTCAAGTTCTAGACCCAGTTTGAATCTGAGATAAAAACAACAGTAAAACTTGGCTTTAGCATGTTTGCTTGTATTTATGTCAGATGATGATTACTGTCTTGTTTTTAGAACTGAATATGCAAATGAGTGCATGGCAGCAGATGGAGGAGGATGGATGAATTTTATCTACAGATATTAAAACCGTATTTAGAACAGGATGCTGTTGCAAGATGCTATAATGCTCTAAAGGATTTGTAATGCTTCATAAGCTGTACTTTTGCTTATTAATAAATACTAATTTAGTTTGTTTCCTCAACCCATTTCTTACATGTTGACTTCAAAGGTACTCCATCATGTACATGACAATTCTCTGATAACAGTTGAGCAAATGCATAAAGTAAAGCACACCAATACTCCTTGGAGACATGGCAATTCTCAGGAAAAATTCATCTAGAAGATCTGGAAACTTTTAATTTATGACTGAAATGTTTTATATACATTTGTAACTGCTTCGATAATATATGCAAATTTCTAGCACTTTGTGCTAAATGCTGCTAATTTGTGAATAAAAGCACAGGAAATACACAGGGAAAAAACAAAGTTGTGTCTCAGTTAAAAGCTAAGCACAGTTGTCTATAGCCTAAAGGGTTACACTTTTCACCCATTGCGTCTAAGCAAGCAATGACTAGGCCTGAAAATTGCCAGACCCCTGCTGAATTTCTTTTACATTGCTCTGGGGCCAGAAGAGAATGAGAATAAACCCTGGATGCCTCTCTGCTGTACCAGAAAAACACATACCGGTTGATTTTTAGGATGTGTATTTCCACAGCTGCCACAATTCAGAAAGTCTAACTTTAAGGCTGCAGCAGTATCAACTTATGCTGCCAATAACTTGTCCTCTATGGGTGAGGATCCAAAGTGATGCAGAGCCCCCAGGCAGGTGCAAAGGAGAGCTCCTTATTGCAAAAACCAGGCCTTTATCAGCTACATACTTTTAAATCATAACAAACATAATCCAACCAACCACCATACACCATGATGTGAACATGTAATTATATAACTTGTTTTTCTACCCCTAATTCAGCTGAGTCACTTTGCCATAGTCCTCTTCTACTTCACTAAAGTATCAGGCCTGAGCCATGATTTTACAAGGTCTTCCTTTTGTAAAGTTTTACTAAATTAAAACTATCAGTAATAGTCCTTAACTTTTGAAAATGGTCACATCAACACATCAGCTCCGAGGATGTTCCTCAATGCTCATTTGGGAACAATGACTGCATTTTTCCCCTTCCCTTTACTATTTATATTGTACATGACACAAGAAAGACTGGTATTTTCCTGTCTCCCTAGTTCAAAGCCAATAGAGAACTTCCAGGCACTGTTGGATCACCCACACCATATGTGCTGAGCATCTACTTGTGAAAAGCCACAGAGAACAGCTTCAGTAAATCCTCTTGGTGGCTGCCAAGGGCCAGCCAGGGAAAGACTCGATTTTGCCAGTTCATTATGAGTCACATGCCCGCAGTATCAAAATATATAAAATTTTCCATACCTTCCTCCCAACCACATCTGGCAGTCAACTTCACAGGTATTTGTCTCTTTGAACACATGGGTACCTTTGAAAACTCACCTCTCTGTGCAGGTTCTAAGTCTAGGCTTCTTTAGACCTAGGTTTTCTTCCCCTGAAACCATTAGCAAAACTTGTCTCAACAACTCAGTGTGAGGAGCTACACATTTTTTGAGATCAGTTTTGGGTTCTAAGGCTGCTAAAACTCTTAGAAATAACGGATTAGAAGCAAGGCACATTATCTAAAGGCCTGAATAATTAGATTATCTATTTCTTTAAAGAAAAAGCCATTTCTTCTTTCCACCTGAAGCACACATGGAGTAACATGCATTTGAGGGAGAGTGTTTTAGGAACCACTTTCTTTCCATCTCCATGAGGAAGCATGTCCAGTAAAAATACTGAATTGAAATTAAGTCTGGCAGAAACAGGGAATGCCTTGCACAGAGAATCTAAATAGTATTCTTAACTTTCATATGAAAAGCACACAGAGCACTAATAAAAACCATGTTCAAATAGAACGACAAATACTTTTAAAAATCTGCTGTCACCTCTAAAAGCTAATTTTGGAAAAGAAAAATATAAAAATCACAGAGATAAGCATATTAATGGTTCCCAATCTCTATTTACAAATCTCATAAATCAGTTAATGAGTAATATTAAATAGATAAATGATGTTAATAGAACATGAAAAATCCCAAATGCTAAAATTTGCATCCTGAATCTGCGAGTGTGCATGCAGTACATTAGAAAGGAGGAAACTGTGAATTTCATGGATTAAAGCATTAATCCATGAGTCACTGGCAGGAAGAATAAGGAAGAAGAATAAGAAAAACGCCACGTACAAAGCAGTCGGTGTCCTTGGGTCCGTAGCAGCCCCCGGCGCACTCGCGGTGGCAGCAGTCGCTGACGTAGGGCCCGTAGCAGCGTCCGTCACACTGCTCTGCACACACGGTCTTGGTCACTGCACGGGCAGGAAAAGGGACAGCGTCACACACGAGGCCAGGCACTGAGCTCTCTGACTGCTCCATGAATGAAACATCCACAGCGTGCTGGGAAAACCCCCAGGAAGGGAGGGAAATGCCTCAGTGGTGCTGATGCTCGCATCCAGAACACCTGCAGGACACCCGCATCCAGAACACCTGCATCCAGAATGCCTACAGGACACTTGTATTCCAGAACTCACAGAATCACAAGGTTGGAAGAGACCTTAAAGATCATCGAGTCCAACCCAGCCCCAACACCTCAACTAAACCCTGGCACCCAGTGCCACATCCAGGCTTTTCTTAAACACATCCAGGGATGGTGACTCCACCACCTCCCCGGGCAGGCCATTCCAGAATGTTATCACCCTTTCTGTAAAAAACTTTCTCCTGATATCCAACCTGTATTTCCCTTGATGCAGAATGTCTGTAGGACTTGTATTCCAGAACATCTGCATTCAAACCATCTGCAGGACATCTGTATCCAGAGTATCTGCACAGCATTTGTATCCAGAATGCCTGCACAATCTCCTCTTTAGGAGCACGCATGTTGCCCAAGGACTGTGGAGAGGGAATTTTCAGTGTGCCCGCTTACCCTTGAAAATTCATGAGGAACGTTACTCTCAAATCATTAGTTTAAATAAACAGGATATGAGACCCTCTCCCCCACCCCCCAGAAAGAGCCCACTGGTCGCATGAGAGTTTTCCCCGCCAAGAACAGCAACATGGAATAAAGGAGCGCAATTCAGAGTGAGACCACCAATGTCACAGCCAAATGGTGCCCGTGATGGCAATCCCTTTGGCAAATGGGAACAGAACAGACTGCAACCTTGGAACACGTTTGGAAACACCACTTGCTATTTCTAACTAACACAATCCTGCCTCCATTCACAGACTGAAGCAATGAGATCTACCAGCTGGATTGCTGTTCCACACCACTGGGGGCTTCACCTTGTGCAAAGGACAGTCACCCAGTGGCCCATCTGCCTCCCCTCCCTCACTCAGCTGTAAACTCTGTCTTTATTTTATGGAAAAAGAAATTGGTATTATCCAAACTATACCAGTCACCACTGCCTACCATGCTGTCAGCTGTCTTTTGATAAAAGCTGGGATGATACACTTCTGCAATTAACCTTCAACATCTATTTTTCAAAAAGCATTTAATTACTTCTCTATTAAACACTTTCAGGAAGAAAGAGAAAACAAAATTCAATCCAACTTTCTGCTCAATTCTACTATTTTAATCTATAAGTAACATCTTTATAAGTACATTCTGATCCAAAAATCCCTTCACTACTTGCCAGAAATACTTAAGGTAATGCTGAAGGTTCTTGCTACATACAGTATTTATTTAGGACATAAAAATGTAAATAACTAAAGAGAAGTGATTGTTTGTAATCTACAGAATAAAACAATGCACTTTTAGAGCATTTTCATCTTGCTGATAACAGAGGAAAACCCCCAGAGAGAAAGAAAAGGCTTTTGTGGCTTTTGCAATCTAATTTGTGAAATTTGAGAAATTCTGTGAAGGCACTTACTGTCAACACTGCCTGAAAAGAACATTAAAAAGATTTGTTTATTTAAGTGACAGTATTGATAAACATTAAGACAGATGTGAAACAATGGCACCTGTGGTTGTGTGCCACCAGCACACTGTGGTGACAGTGCTGGCTCATGAAAATGAACAAATTCTTCCCTAGTCTGTGTGCCTTGTTTCCCACCAGCTCAGGATTTGCCCTGGACTGGGCACTGTCTGGCTCACAGAAAGGCAAAGTCCAGCCTTATCCTGACTTAAAGGAGGCTCCAATTCCCAGTGGAGGGCACAGAAGCCAATCAGTTCACCCTACAACCCAAACCCTCTATTCACCTATGCCACTGCCAGGGGAACAGCTGGTCCTGGAGCCAAGGGCCACCACCCAAAGGCTCTGCCTCCCCTTCACCATGGCACCTCAGGCTTTGATATGGTCACAGCCATGTTCTGCCTTGTGGCTGTGCCTCGAGGCCATGCATGGAGCCCACTGTTAAAAGCATTCCTTGCTGTGTCCCACTGCTATTGGATGTTTTGCTTAAAGCCCAGGAAGTTTTGGTGTAATGCCCCTATGTGTGGGTAATCAATGTGAGCCACCTAGTTCACCTCTGATTTATTGACCCCAGAACCAGCTGCTGCTGCGTGTGGGCCACGATGCCCACCCTGCCCATGGAGCCACTGGTTCCTCCTGGAGGAACAACTCAGTTAGCTGGAGCATGGTGCTGATAACACCAAGGTTTTGGGTTTGATCTTGGGATGGGCCATTCACGCCAGGGCTGACCTGGAGGAACACAGCCCTCTCTTTCTTCAGCACAATACTTGAACTGGATGCCTTCAAAAAGCATCTTTTGCTTCTGGTTAGACACCAGCTCAAGGAGGGTTTCTACCACGCTGCTCAGGATAGGGAACACTGTGGGTTTCCCTGAAGCAAAATTAATAATTGCAGCAAAGGTTTGTCGCTGTTCTTCCCCAGCTGTTTATTTTTCAGGGAAAACAAACAATGCCAACAGAAATGCCAATGTGTTATTCCAGGAAGAGGCCAGAACATATCATATCTATCTCCTACTCCACTGTATGCCATATTTGCATTATAGCTGCTAGTGAAGGCCCAGCTCTGTGGAGAACCTGTCAGGTGTCTTCAGTGGCACCACACACACCAAGATATTAATGAGCTTAGCAGGCTCTGGATCTTAAGGACTCATATTTATGACACTTTAAAAGGAAGGTTTTTCCCCAGAAAATAATTGCCTTTCCCACAAGGCAATTCTGTGTACTGTCTGAAGGTCTGAAACAATCTGATTGCTCAGATGCCAATAAACACCACTCACCAGTTCAGCTTCCTGCAATCATTTTCAGGGGGTAACCCCACAGGAAATACATGTAGCTACAATGGTTTAAAAAGATAACAAGCTTCTCCCCCCTCCCCCAAAATACAATCAATTGATTTTATAGCTGTAACTCAAGACTTGTCTGAAAGAGTGAATTTTAAATATTGCCCAAAATGTCAAACTATTTGGCATTTCAGGTGCCAGGTACTCATATCTTCACCCAACACAATAGTGAGGAGAGCCTCACTAATCTCAGCTGAGATCCCAAGCTTCAAAGCAGACATTTTGAGGGTCAGCACAACTACCTGCCTGGATTCCTACAGATCGTGTATGTGACCCCAAGAATTTGGAGCGTTCAACTACACAGAACTGTCACAGTCAGGGCCAGGACCAAAGGACAAACACCAGAGTCCTGAAAAATGTGCTGTGCATTAAAATGGATTTCTGGGTGAGACTGTCAACTTCTACCAGCATTTCACAGCAATAAACTGTGATGAAATTATCACCTTATGTACACGTGTAAATTACCAGTCTCCTTTATATTTTCCCTTCATCTTTAATTGTGTCAGGACAATATCAATCCATGAAGGAAAAAATGGGAAGTAACTGAAATCAATGAAAGCATTCCCAACATGCAAAGTTATTAGAGCAGTACAAGGCTTTTAATTAAAGATGCTGGCTCCAAGCAGAAATGTGGGTTTCCCTGACTGATCCCAGCTGCTGGTTCAGCTCTTTCTGTGTGCCCCACCAGGCTCCTGCTTGCCTTTTGCTGCTCTAATTTGGCACCTTCTCAGCAACATCAGCTGCACAAGGACAGCAGAAATACACTTGTGCTCTGACCACACTCTTGTACACAGAGTCAAGGTGCACTTGACATTTGCTAAATGTTTCACGTTTGATTTATAGGTTATATTTGTCTTTTTCCATGTCCTTAATAGGGTCTATATTCTAATTTAGATTGTTGCATTTTCAGTTACATTCCTCTGGGGGAAAGTGCATAATCTGTCACTTTATTAAAGTATTGAATTGTAAAAGTTTTAATTTCTGCAGGAAATTCCTAACAGACATGAACACCAAAAATTTTAACAACTTAACCATAGATTCTTGAATTTGATTAGTGACTTCCAAAGGCATTTGTTATTATTATTTTAAGTGGTTTACATTCTATTCAGTGCATGCCCAATACAATTTGAAAATAGAGTCTTTCTAAAAGTATTTTCACATTAGCCTTTCCTGACACTGAAACAAGTTATATCATCTCAATTTCAAATTCTTCCTATTAGCATCTACTAATATTTTAATTATAAAAGTAAAAAGGATTGCTAACTGTGTATAACAGTACCCTGGAATTTTATCTTCTCTCTCTCCTAACAGAACAGCTTGGCTTAAATTTCCTATTAATTGTCTTCTTAAATACATGAATTTTCTTGTCACATTTAGAGAGACATTAGAACAGAGTTAGATGCAGGTGGTATTTCAGACAGAGCTAGCAACAAAGACATTGCTGGAAGGCAACATAAGCAGCTAGGTAGATGATATTCATGAAAAAAACAAAGGGATTTGGGTTTTTTTCCCATATGCAATTTCAAATGAAAGACACGGATTAAGATCTTTTATTTTTTATCCTTTCCCAGGAAAATAATTTAAATCTTATCTTGGGAGGGGGGCTCATTAAAATATTTTCCTTCAATCCTCAAAAAAAAAAAAAAAAAGAAAAAGAAATTATCAAAATTAAGCTCTGAGCTGTTTCTAGGATCAAAATTGTTTGGCACTGGATGTAGCACTGCTGGAGTATTTTCCTACACGTGTTGGAAAGAAGTGCACCCCCAGGTGACAGGGTTAATGCAGACCCAATGTGCACAACACAGCTTGTATCTGAAAACATTTGTGAGCCCAAAAGCCAGGCATGTCTTTTAAAATCATACATGAAGGCAGCAAAAGCATAGTCCCACTTGCATTTTTATGTTTTGAGTCCCTACACAAATTCTCCCTCTTGGTTTCAGTCAGTTTGAAGGAAACAGCTTGTGCAAAAATCCAATGAAGAAATGCCCTTTACCAGCCTCTTCCTTCAATCCTGCTGCTTGTCCAATGTCAGCGAGGTCATGGAGGCAAAGAAGAAGTCTGTGATGTAAAACTAATTCCTGTCCCTGACCATCAGAGTGGGCTTGAAGGTGAGAGGATGTGGAGTAGCTACTCAAGTAGAAGAGTGTGATCCATGTATCTCCCTGACACTTGGATGGGTTATGGCTTTTCCTAGTCTATTATTTTAACCCCATGTTAAAAGGTTGTGCCTTAGCCTGTCCCCACTGTTTGGATTCGCAAGGACAGCCACTGTGGAGGGACAGAGAGCTATCACTCCTGGAGCCAGCCTTCTGTGCAGCCCTGCTGAGTTCCTGCCTTCCCAGCCCTGCAGATAAGCTCTTCTCTCCCTGGTAATTCCACATTAATCCACCAATCAGTTTCCTCATCTGAGAGCAGTGCTTTATGGAGGCTGAGACCATGGGAGCTGATCCTGCCACATGGACCTCTGCAGGTACACAGCTGGACTTGCCATGAGGCTGGAGACACAGCCTGAACCAGCATCATGGGCTCCTTACAGAACCTAACTGCCAAGAACTATTTTAAACTATTCTTGGCTAAGAAAACCACAGAAGGCCTCAATAAATCTACTTGTTTGGATGAGTTATGCAGCTTCTTACAAAGTTACTAGTTCTAACAGAGAAGCTTCTCATTAAGACAGAGAAAAAAACATTAATTCTAACCATGATATAAAAAATTTGGTAAGTAGAGTCAAAGTCCCTTTCCATTACCTACTTCTTTCCCTGGTAAGGAGCACTGACTTCCTCAGAGCCTTCACAAAGACTGCCAGCAGAGGAAGGAGATGTCCCAGCTCAGTTCAGACAAAGAAGAATCTGCTCTGTATCACTGTACCTTAGTCCTACAGTATGGCCTGAGGCGTTTTTAGCCATGCCTGTAGAGAGAGCACAATATGAAGCAGTGATACAAGAACAGGTTAACTTTAGCAGAGCTGTAATTGGGAGCAGCTTCTCCAGCAGAATCAGCTGGTGCTCCTAAAGGGAAAGCAGCTCCTGGCAGGGTGGCAGAGCCTCTGCAGGTACATGGCTCTGTCCCCTGGGGCAGCAGGGCAGCTTGGATTTCCTGCTCAGACTTATCAGACATTCACCTCAAACTGTCTGCCAGTTCTAACTCCATCCTATCTCTCACTCCAAGTAGTCAAAAAAAAAAAAAAAAAACCCAAAACCAGAAACTCAAAGATCAACAAACCCCAAAAAGCAGCATCTCTGCACTGTTCCCACCAAGTCCCAGGAAAGAGGCAGACTGGGCTGACTCTCCTCAGCTCAGAGCTTAGCTGGGGGGTTCACCTGGGAGTGGCTCATTTGTCACAGTCCTTCCTCCCATTTACCAGTCAGCCAAGGAAACAAGCACAAGATGGGGAAGTGTACTGTGGGGGAGCTCCCAGCAACCACTTCATGTCCCAGGAAGAGTGATTCCAGTAAAGGCAACTGGTTTTCACCCTCTTGTAAGCAGGAAAAAGGAAAAAAACTTGTAGAAGAAACAGCCCTCCATTTTCTCCTCTTTTATTATCATCTGCTAATATTGTGACTGTACTTCTGGCTCCTTTGTGCCTATGTGAAGGAGCTTAAAGCTCCTTCAGGAAGGAAGGAACTAATTTTCATGCTCTCTAAATTCACAAGGACAGAAAAAACATAGTGAGTGACCCTTCACTACTTCCTTCACAAAAAACCCTATTATTCTCTCTTTCAGTACAACTCAAATATATTCTGAAGTTATTATAAAGAAAACAGTTCTGCACAATAACTAATATTCCCAGGCTACCATTGAAATTAACAGACTATTTTGGCATCAGGAACTTTGCAGTGTCAGGTGGTCATTAAATATCTCCAAATCTGCCATCAATATTCTCAAGAGCCATGCTTCATGTTGCCACCAAGCAGTGAAAAGAAAATTCAAGTTAGCATAAGGAGCTTTAGAAAGCCCAAGGGAGGAGAAGAAAAATATCATTCAAATGGGTAGAAAACGGCAAATCATCTATTGATAAAAACATATGGGGGAAACAAAAAACCCCCGTATATTTTACAGTTATACTGAACCCAGAATTTATAGTATCCCTTCACAACTGAAAGAAAACAAGTAGGATCTCTGCTACATTGTTTTCCAGTCCTTTGTTTCTCACTCTTACACACTTACAGGTCTGGCAGTGATTCTCTGTGGGTCCCCAGCACCGTCCTGTGCAGGACTTGTGGCAACGACCACCTGCAGGACAGACAGAAAAAGAGAGATTGGAAATGTGCTTTTCTTTCATTCCTTTAACATCCAGCAACTGCAAGAGACAGAAGTCCACCTTGTCTTTGGAAGGTTTTTATACTTTAGCAAGGCTGAAACAGTGCCTGTAAAAAAGGCCCAACTAAATAACCAGACCTAGTATCAAACTTACATGAAATACAGGTACTAATCTAAACACCTTTCTGCTATGCATAATGACCAGGACATTTTAAAACAAAAAGAGGTATGTTCCTCAGTCCTCCAGACTTGCTCAATGTCATCACTCAGTGCTATCACTATTGCTTTCCACAGCCTATGTAAAACTGCTGACTCCTTCACAGGAGGAGAGATGGCTGTGCTGGAAGGGCTGTAGAGCTACTCACCTCCTGTTCAATTTCATCTGAACAATTGTCACAGCACATGTCACAGTTGAGACAGCCACAATACACAGAGCATCACCACACAATTTCAGAAAGCTCCAACCCATACAGAGAAACACCTCACCACTTCAGAAGGCTTCAGGCACCTGCCCATACACAGTAACACCACGGCACTGCAGAAGGCTGCAAGCATCTGCCCTTCTTGTTCTTCAGCCCAGCCTTTTATCCCCTCCTGCTGATGCACGGCACCTGTGTGCCCTCTGCTCCCTTTGGTGTTGGTCAGTGCCCCGGGCACTCCTTGGCTCGTTACCTTCAATGTCATTCACCTGTCCTGCACAGCTGTAGCCCATTGGGGATGAGGCTGGGCCAGCCCCACTCCCAATCACCACAAACTGTGTGCCTACAAGCAATGGGACATTCCATTCAATGCCTTTGGTTAAAAGCCACCCCTCTTCCCACAAACTGCATGGTCTGCATGTCCAACATTATGGTAAGGGAAATGTGCTCTGTGCAACCACTTGAACCCCACTGACAGCAAAGATCACAGGACCTTCTGCTTTCTGACTGCTAGTTCTTTAGTTGCCTTTGGTTCTGCTTCAGAAGGAACCTCATATTCCTTCAGACCTTGGATGTGATGCTCCACATCATCTCTCCTCATGCTGATATGTTACAGCTGAGACAACCACACAATGACACTGAGACAATACAGAGTGTCACCACACAATTTCAGAAAGCTCCAACCCATACAGAGAAACACCTCACCACTTCAGAAGGCTTCAGGCATCTGCCCATACACAGTAACACCACGGCACTGCAGAAGGCTGCAAGCATCTGCCCTTCTTGTTCCTCAGCCCAGCCTTTTATCCCCTCCTGTTGATGCACAGCACCTGTGTGCCCTCTGCTCCCTTTGGTGGTTGGTCAGTGCCACGTGTCTCATTACCTCCAATGCTGCTCACCTGCTGCTCACAGCTGTAGCTCATTGGGGATGAGGCTGGGCCCAGCCCCACTCCCAATCACCACAAACTGTGTGACTACACTGATAGGTTTAGTCCATGAAGGAAAAGAACTGTAGGTGCTTTCACTGTAAAATACAGCTGTAAGAAGAAGCGTTAGCAATGGTAGGTTTTTATAAACTACCAAGTAATTAGTGATTGAAATCCACTTAGACTGGGTGGGGTTCAGTTCACGTGTCCATGTCATGGCAAAATGCTGACCCATTTGAGAGGGAAGGGTAAGCAAGAAGAGCAGAAATGTTCTCCTCTGGCTGCACTTCAACACCACTGGCGAGAGCGCTCGGACAGCCCCACACCAGCCTGGGCTGAGAGGGAAGGGAGACCCCATTCCACGGCTGCCATCTGGACATGGCCAAAGTCCAGGCACACTCCCAGGTGTGGCAGTGCCTGAGGGGTGGGCAAGCCAGCCCTTCACAAAGTCAGAGCTCATGGGATGAGCCAAGACACCCAATGTAAATCTTGTGGAAGACTATGCACAGTCCTTATCACTGCGCTTTTGATCACAGGAACCCAACCTTGTGTTTGATTAAACTTTTATACATCACTGAGTACTGCTGAGATTGTGTTAACTGAATTTCCCCTTTGAACCTGATCCAGGTTCAATCCTTTCAATCATGTATTAACAGCTGCTGCTGCTAACACTGTTCCATTACACTAAATCAAATACTTGCCACATGCCCTGATGGGAGATGGCGCTGGAGAAAGTGCAAAATGTTTCTCATTTTCATTGGATTACCCTGAAAACAAACACTTCTCCTCTTACAGCAGCATGCTCACACCTGTGAGATGTTACAGAGCTCAGCAAACCCACCCTGATGGTCATGTGAAGTCAGACTCTCTGTCACTAATTTTTCAAAGCCAGCATTCCTCTCTTGGCATTCCTGGTGCTATTGATGATGCTGCCTGGTCATTACCACACTGAATGCCAACTACCTTGTTAAAACTACCAGTTCCTTGTTGCATTCATGTTCATTTAAAGCAGTTATACTTGGGAAAGATTGTTGCTGATATCACCATCACATAATTCTCTGTCACCTTCTACCATCTGTTTATTAGATCACAAATGTACTATAACTACATAAATGCAAACTCATTCTGGCTGACAGGGAGGACACTCCATCTGGCATGAATAATGCAACTTTAATCAGTAATAACAATTATTATGATTATTAAGAGACTGCTGGAACCCTGCACAGAAAGCAAATATATCCACACTGATTTATAAGAATGAAAGTTTAAAATGGTGAGGTAAACAGCAAATTAAAAGAAGAATTTTAGCAGATGAGGGTTGATAAGGTACAAGTTGTTAGCTGAATTTGGGACTTGCTGAACTGAATAGAAATGCTCCCCTGGAGGTGGGTTTTATTAACTAGCTACCCCTAATCAGCAGGAGGAGCAGGCTGGATGCACACTCAGGGAACCTTCCCATCCCTGCTGGGGCAGCTCAGGAACCACAACCCACCCACAACCCAGGCTCCTCCTGCAAGACTCTCCTCTGTCCCAGTCCTTCCTTGAGGTCCAGTCTCATGCCTCTCTTGGCTCAGAGGTGTGGAGCTCAGGGAGGAAGCTGGAGGCCCTGTATCCAGCACCATAAAACACAGGTCACTTGCAAATACACATTCCTGAGGCACAGTGAGGCAGCAATTTGGCTCTTCCTGCCCCTTTTTGTCCCTGGATTCCAACCTCTTCCAAAACATTCTGTAAACACTGGGCTTTCCTCTGTAATACTGCTGTGGGATAACACAGAAGGAACTTCAGCATCCCTCCAAGTGATCCCTAACTAGAGAGTCTGCCCACACCTCTGTAAAAGCTGTACTTAAAATATAAATCTTCATATCTGAAGCACCTAGGTGCTGAGCTGATCCTCGCTGTGCAGCCAAAAATTTATTCAGCCATCTCTATTCCTCCTGGAAATAAAAGCAATTCAGCATCTTCAAAACATCATTTTAAAAATTTTTTAACTTGCATGCCTGCTGCTGGTACATGACTTTGTTTGGCAGTGTCAGATGATGATTTGCATTTAAATAGAGATATTTAACAATAAAGCAAGAAAAGCCTGCCAGTTTCCTTTTTTCTCACTGGGAACTCAAAAGTGTCTGTTTCATTGTTTTCACTTTTCTCAGCTGTACAGACACAACCAGGAGCTGAGCTTGTAGGCAGCACACCTCTGAATTGCATTGTTTTGTATCCTTTTGAAGGTCAAATATACTGAGAATTAAAAACCAAACTTCCTCCAAATAGGGTATCTATACTGGCTTGTTTTTTTAAAGAGAAAAAATAACTTTCCTTGCTCTCAATATGAACTGGTCCAGATTCTGCCCTCACATCCTTCTGTACTTCACCGGGTTTTCCTCACTAAGGGAAAATCTGTCCTGTAATAAGGACAGATTGAAACCCATTAAAGACCAGCTCTGCAAAATTAAGACAGAAATAGTCCTGTGGAAGTCAACATATGCACTCAGGAGCATAACAAGCACTCATGTGAGGAGCAGGTCTCACAATGAGATCTGTATGTCAGGCTTAAATGATAACAAATGTATTGGCCCTAAGGTTGACAAGGCCCTTGGAGGAATTACACTACTACTCACAGATCTTCCTGTATATATTTCTTAAGATTTTTACACTGTGAGGCAACAGATTTGAAAAGAAAAAACTATGAAACAATTTGTGGCATGAATCATTCCTGTTATTCCTTGTGTCTAAAATATTCTAAATATACAGCAGAAAGGGCTAAAAGAATTTGGCCAAAAAAACCTCTCTGCAGGGCACAACCTTGGCCCATTTACTTGATTCTCCACATTAGTGAAGGCACATGTTTTCCTTTTGCAAGCAAGACAAGGAAGGAAAGAACCTACAAAAGTCTCCTCCCCATTACAACTGGGACACTGGAGTGCATTTCTGCTCCTGAACAGTAGCATTGTTTTGCATACACAGTGCCAGTTTGGAGGCTTCCATAATTTTCACAGGTTTTGTAATGAAATCTAGGTTAAGAAAAGGCAGATTCCCACTGGAACATGAGAATTAATTTTGCTTTGGCAAATTGCACACAGAAAACCAATGTTTTGTCTCCTGGGCTGTCTTCCCTTGGCTAATTATCTTGGCCCTTGGCTAAGATCTTCCCAGATCTGAATTATGGACTCTGGGCAGAGCACCTTCCTTGTCATTTCCAGGATAGAGTTTTATTTGTGGGAAATGCTTCTGCTTTCCCAGCCAGGGAAAGTCACCAGCAGAAAATGTTTGCTCACTAGCTTGGGAAAGACCAAGGTTATTTCAACCTTGTGTTTTCCTGAGAATTGAGAAGGGCTTTCCTTTGACTCCAGACTGACTTTATTATTTCAGAAACAGTAAAACCACAAAGGATTAAGTTACTGACGAGACAAGAAAAATGAAGTGCCCCTCTCAGCTCTAAGCTCAGTGTCATACAGAGAAGAAACCCTGCCTCTTCCCCATCAGCTATGCCAGCTGCCTTGAGCAGACCCCTCTCAGTAGGAGAAGGAAAGCAGAAATAAGAGAAGAAATGTCTCACTTTGCACAAAGCTTACATTTACAGATTGTTTCTATCTGGTTATAAATCTTCATTCAGTGTTAGGATACCTGC